GCGTTCAATCGAACACTAAGCTGCACGGCAATTCTGACTCGGACATTGGCATTAGTGTGGCTTGGCAAGAACCGAAGCAGTGTGTTGAGGCTGTTCCTTACGCGTAGCGAGCGATACCTTTATAGCATGGCTGTTAAGGAAGCTCACCAACTCATCAAAGACTTCTCACAGCGGAAGGCTGGCACCGTCAACGCGCCCCCAGATGGACAAGCGTCAGGGCCAGCCAGCCAAGCGACAGCCTCGGCCACCACGCCAGCGGCGGGTGAAGGTGGTCAAGGGGAGATCTTGGCAGAGATCGGCTTTGGAGAGCTGGAAGTGGAGGACCCTGTGAAGAAGGAAGCTCGTGAATGGGCTGCAAGGGAGATGGACCACGTCCACATTGTGCGCAAGGGTGATGAGTTTCAGCAGCTGCTGCTTCTCGGGCGTACAAGTTCGGGCTACCTTGTTCATATTTTTGACAGGAGGCGTGAAGCGGTAAATAGGTGTTGGCTTTACAAGTGGCAATGTCGGAGGTGCACTTCCCCACAACATAACCGGACGCGCGCGCGCGCGCGCGGCGCGCGCGCGGCGCGCTTTTGCAGTCTGCATGTTTGAGCGTTAGCGATGCAGATCCTTGATGTTTGATGGCGTGACTTGCACATGTGGCGCCTTGAGCCCTTGGTTTATTGGCTGCCTAAGGAAGGAGAAGGTCTTTGGGAGTCAGCGAATGGGCTTCATATGCGACTGCGGCACGAGCAGACTTAAGATTTCTTCAGACTACCTGGAAATGATCCGGAACGTTATCATCTCCACTGGCGTCGGAAAGTTCGCTGTGGTTGTGGTTTGTGGCCCGCGGCTGGACCTAGTGGCCGCTATGAGCACTAGGTGCCAGGCTCTCTTTGCGAGTGAAAAAACCTTCATCGTGCAGATGGTGAGCGGCGTGCTGCAAAGCGTCAAGAGCCAGCCTGGCTGGCTCATCGTTGTGACCCACAAGGAGGTGAAGATGCCGTTCCACGCGGAGCTTCTGCGCTTCCGGGCAGAGGCTTGTGAAAAGTCGCGCCTGAGGTGCTTGAGCAAGAGCTGCAGTCTCAGGCCGGAATCAGAGCGTGCGCTGATTGAGTCCGAGGACCAGCCGACCGCGTGTAACGAAGAGGTGCCCCCAGATGACAAAGAGGTCGAGTTGTACGACATCATGGAGCCAGAGACTGACGCTGCGCTGCAGGAGGACCAGGAAGATGAGCCCATGCCGGACTCGCAAAACGCCCAAGATGAGAAGCGCGACTGGATCGTGGATTTGTTTCCTTTCGCGCGCCCAGTGCAGTTTTACCGCTCCCTCATCACCGACATCCTTCGGATGGAAGGTGTGACGCAGCTGGCAATCCTGTCATCCAGCGCTCATCCAGCTAGTTGGCTGGCTGCTCGTCAATGCCAAGCGGCGCCTCGGCCTTGCTTGGCAGCTTTTCCGAAGCTTGCACTTCCTTTCTTTCGGTCATAGGCAGCATCAGTTTGTGGTTGCAAATTGCTTGTCACCCGCAGGAGACATTCGTGCTGCTCGACCGCCCCAGGGAGCATTCTGTTCTGCACGCGGAGGCGCTGGCCAAGGAGTACTGGTTCGGCAAGAAGATGCGCCAGCTGGAAGCTGCTGCCGGAAACTCTTTGAAGAGAAAGCTTGTGGCGGGCAGCGTGCAGTACATGGAAGGCCCGTCGCTCGACCCCAGTGCCCAAGCAGTGGAGTGGCTGGATATTGGTGCCCATGCCACTGACGGCTTTATGGTTGACTCGTTTCCTGCAGACATGGACTTCTTCCTGAAAGGCCGCCTTGAGCAAGAGCTTGAGGAGCACTCTCTGTCTGTTCGCACTTTCGACGGCAGGGGCAAGGGCTTGGTGACCGAGCGTGGGATCGCTGAAAGCGAGGTCATTTTGAAAGCCCAATGCATGCTTTTCGGTTCGGAGAGTCTGCTCTTGGAGTTCTTGAGGGTTCCGGGGAATGAGCTCTACCGTGATTCTGCCCCTAGACTGAACAGCTACAGTAGCTTAATTGTGAAGTCTTCCTTACACATGGATTGACCTTCCGCTTCTCTGCTCTGTTCGCAGCGCAAGGTGATGAAGGTGCGCGGTGTGATGACGGGCGGCGTGCCGGGTGAGATGATCGTTGTGCTGCTGTCAGCTGCAAGGCTCATCAACGATTACACGGGCTGCCGCAAGTCTCCAAACTGTGAGTGGGGCCTTGATGTCACGCAAGGGCCAAACAAAGGAAGCGTGTTCCTTCAGTGCCGCACTCGCAACGGGTGTGGCATCGCAGCTGGCAGTGAGCTCTTGACGGCCTATGGAACAGGGTATGACCTGGGCTGCCGCAAGCAAACTCGGATCGAGTCTTTTCTGGACCCGCCGTTGCCTGAGCCAAAGGCAGGAGGAGGCCCTCCTGTGCCCGAGCCCAAGCCAAAGCCGGCTCCGCCAGTCCCTGCTCCCAAGCCGAAACCAAAGGCAGAGGCAAAGGCAGAGGCAAAGGCGACTGGAGAGCCAGCCGCGCCGAAGCCCCCTGCGCCAAAGCCAGCCCCTGCGCCAAAGCCAGCCCCTTCGCCAAAGCCAGCCCCTCCTGTGCAGGCTGCTCCCACGAAGGAGCTGTGTGCCCTGCAAGACCCGCCGTGCAAGTTGGAGCTTTGTGCGGGGCAGGGGCAGGGGTCTGCGACCTTGCAGATCGTCAGCCTGGCGGACTCGAACCGTAAGATGCCCAAGAACCAGATCTTCAAGCTGTGGATCCAGGGGTCGTTTGTCAGATCCGCTGGCGATGCCCCGGAGGGATCTGTCAAGTACGACTTGCTGCTGTCTTCCTTGGTGGTTTGCCGGGCCTCCATGACTGTGATGCCCTTGAAGGGAATGGTGGCCAAGCACCAAGCGCGGGAAGTTCATGGCTATAAGGCCTTTCCGGCAGGGTCGCCACCTGCCAGGTTGGGCCTGGAAGGGAACCAGCTGCAGCGTGGCTCAATCAGAAACGTTTGCACACCGCTAAACGTTGTTAGCGGCTGGACGGGCATGTCTGTAAGCGGGGCCATGTGTGTGTGTGTGTGTGTGTGTGTGTGTTTGCTTTTAATCTTTGCTAGCGCAATGCGGGTTTGCTGATTTGTTTGTTGGCAACTTCAGGTACTTGGTGCCAAGTGATACAGAAGTTCTCGAAGTGTCGCGGGCTTGCTCATCGATTCCGCACTTCACCTTGCTCTGGGCCGTCAAGGTTGAGGAGAAGAAGCTTGAAGATGGCAGCACCGCTAAGAAGCTCCTTCCGAATGGCCTGGCGCTCGTCTCCTTGAAGCAGATGGTGTTGCAAGCGGGCCAAACGCACCCGCTCCCGATGTAGGAACTTGCTAGATCTGGGACTTGCCACTTAGTCTCTCTGCGCCTCTCTGCAAACATGTGCATGTTCAGCTTGAAAAGAAACGAGGCACTGTCCCCGACCTAGCAACTGCCGGAGTTCTCAGGGCTTTTGTGAGAGTGAGTCAGAGCTCTCACTGGCCGGTTTTGATTTGAGTGAGCGCTGTGTCAGACCTCCGGCGCGCCTGCTAGCGCTGTTGTTCAGTGCTGCCTCCGCTTTGCTTTCATGATGGTTCTTTGGACCTGTTACCATTCAATATTGAAGAAGTTCCGTGCTTCAAAATAGCAAGAGCTCGTAGAGGCAGCTTGGGCGAGGGGTCAAGGTGATCATTTGCAAGGTGAGTGGGCGCATGGCAGAGGCTGTGCGACGATGATCGTTCGCATTTTTCCTTGGCTAGCTAGCGCTGTTGTTCAGCGCTGTGCTGCTGCATGCGGACGCCTGTGTCGTGTCCAAACATCACAAAGTGTATGCAGAAAACACTTCTTGAACAACAGTGGTGTCGATCAGTCAGGCCCCTCCCGCAGCAAGAATCGCCGGCGAAAAAAGCAGCTGGAAGTACCGCTTTGTTGGGAGATCCAATGTTCTTTGTTGCGAGCAACTCTGATACGGTCAGCCTGCGAACTAAACAAGAGACATGGGCCATGGTTCTGTTTTTTTTTGAGGGTGCCCCCTTTTTGGGTTGGTCTTAAGGGGGAACCAACACAAAAAACCACCTTTTGTGGGCCTGTTGAAGAAGACACGCATTTCATGGAAACTAGTTTGATGTGTGCTGGGGAAGGAATTCACCATTTCAGGAGCGAACAGGTGCCTGTAAGCGGGTTATAGATGGACCCCAATACATAAACGCGCCCAAATTTGAAGACCGGGGAGCAGTGGTTGCAACGTAACTCCAACTCCAGCAAATAACAAGTTGTTAGACAATCTGCGTCGCGAGGTGTGTGCCGGCACGCTGGGCCAAGCTGCTGCAGCAAGCCGCCTTGCGCCTTTTTTTTGGAGCCCCCCCCATTCCTCATAGACGCCCCTCAACAACCGTTTTCGGAAGTTGGGCGAGGACTTCTTTTTCTTTTGACTAGCTTGTTCAAAACCTTATCCCCACCGATTAGCGGTTTACGGATCAGAGTATGCGGTTTGCGGATTACGGGTTGCACGGCGCTGTTCGATGCTCCAGCAGAAGGCTGTGGCCCGCAATTTGCAGCACGGATTACGGATTAAGAGCAATGATTACGCGGATTACCGATAGTGACTAGGTCACCCGGGATTCCAATGGAGGAACTATATTCGGGTCAAGCGCTTATTTCGGAAATAGGTGTTAGCTATACAAGTGGCAGTGTCCGGGCTGCATTTCTCTCGACGAGGCCTCGTGCTTGAAGCGCGTTTTTTGCCATAACATAACCGGACGCGCGCTTGGCGCGCTTTTGCACGTTTGAGTTTGTGCTAGCTTGCGCCTTAGGCCCTTGGCTGCGCTTGCAATGTTTGCGAGTGTGTGGTTGAATGTTAGCAATGCAGTATTTATGCGGTCTGGCTAGTTTGTAAAGCGATGTTTAGGAAGATCTTTTAACGAACGCTGTTTGTTTGCGGCATATCAAACATCAAAATGCCTCTAACTGTCGCCTCCCCGGGTCCGGTAAGAAAGCGCCATGACCCCGCGCCCCTCCTCACCGTTGTGCAGCCAGCCGACCCGAACCTGGAAACGTACCGTGAGCGGGGCAGGTCACCCCTGCCCCGCCCAAAAAATGAGGTGCAAAATGCACCAAAAAACTATGGCGGACAAGGCTCAGTTGCGCACACTACCTTGCCACCTCCCAGCTACAAGCCTCATAGAGGCCTGCTTTGGGAAATCTAGTGACCACACGCTGCCCAAAAGAAAAGGTTCCCCAAATCTTCATCTTTGGGGGCATTTTTTGTGTTCTGGGGCATGGCATCACTGAGGCGATGGCACTCGGCAAACCTGCCATCGGACTTTTGAGCAACAGCAGGCATTTCTGGGAGGGTGCCTGGAACATTCTTGTGCAGGGACTGTCAAGTGCCATGTTGGGAAGGTAATTCGCTTGACAAACCTGGAGTTGGATGTTTCGCCTTACCTGCCATGTATGAGCGGTCTCAAGTTGTGGCTTTTGATCACCCGGTACCGCAAGTGGACGGATCCTCATTTTGTCCACCCCCAAACCTGCTTCGTTCGCCTTCATTGTCCTTTTGGTTCATGGGCCCTCGAAAAGTCCACGCAAAAGGGTTGGGGGGGTGGAAAAATAGCATCCCACACACAGCATCCAGCTGGCCCCAACTGTGGCCCCGGCAGTTCGCGGGTGAGGATCGTCCATGCTACCGCCCAGCGGCCTAAGACATGACTAGGTGCATTTTAGTGCATCCTTTAAAAATACCAGCTCAAATTCGGCGGTTTCCTTGGGGGTTTCCACCAAATGTGGTTCGAAGGCGGGTTTCTCAGCAATGAACGGGGTTCGAAGCCAGCCAAACCCCACTCCCACCTCCCATCGGAGCCACTGGGAAGCAGCCCGTGCGTGACTCAGTGGCGCGCCCCCATGGGTGCAGCGCAATGACCTTAGGCCCAGCGCCTACGGTGGCAACTAAAGCAAAGTCACAGGAAGACCCATGGGTTTGTGGCTTTTGGCTGGTGTACTTGCAATTTCTGTGTATATATAAATATACTGTTTTAGGGCATCCACTGTAAGCGTCACCCTGCTGTTGCAAAGGGGACCGCGCCACGAGCCCATCATTTCGATCCCCACCATGGCCCGGCTGTGAGAACCCAATCCTAATGACTTTGAGGATTATGCAAGGATTCTGCTTGCCCCCACGACCATGGGTTACCCTTCAGTTCTGGGGTTTGAAGGGAGCCCCGCGGAAGGGAAAACCAACCTGCTGTGGATATTCATTGATTTGACAACAGTTTGAACCCCACCAGCCTTTCACACCCCTTTTTCAGCCCCTAGGCTCCGGCGGCAATGGGGCCGCCCCCTACGTGCACCTCAGTTGCTCTCGGCAGATCTCTCTCTCTCTCTCTCTTTCTCTATCTCTCTCTCTCTCTCTCTCTGTCTCTCTGACCCTGCAATTGGAGTCCTTGCCTCTGGTATCAAAGGCGCCCTTCATGGTTAAGCCACGGTTTGTCACCATCACCCTGCCTGGGCGTCTACTGAGCTGCTGCCCACCGGGATCCTGTGGAAGGCCTGTCCCAGTCTCAGATTTTCCGCTCGCCAACCAAGAGAAAATATGTCTCCGGAACTTGGTTTCTGTAACGACCCCTCTGCAAAAAGTTGATCACTTTTTGTGGGTTTAGTGGAAAACCCCTTGATTTCCCACAAAGTTGAAAGTCTAAAGATCCAACCCAACAGCAATCAAGCCTAAAGGAACATCGTCTTCCAGGACCCCAAAACGTGCGAGGATCGGCACCTTCCCCGCCCCGGCATTGGCCCAGCACCTCTTGCAGGTCGCGGCCGGCAAGCGCCATGGAACGTTGGTGACAAACAGGGACTTCTTGCGACCCACGAAAACTCAGTTGAAGCAGCTTGAAAGGAGCCGTTTCAACGGGCCTGCCTGAAAAGTGGTTTTGGTGGTGGGTTACATTTGATTGAAGGACAAGCCCGGGGGAATGGACTGAGCCGAGGAAACCGAGCATGCATTCATGAGAACATGGCTCAGTCAGCCTGCTTGCTTTGAGGATTCTGTGGATCGACGACGCCCGATCGCAAATCGTGGCACGCGTTCTGCATTTTCCCAAGCCGTGCATGTGAGATACGGCAGCATTTGACTCAAGCCGCCTGGGTGACTTTGCACTCCGCACTTGGCTTGGCGTGAATTTGCCAGAGCCAAGGTCACGTCTACCTCAGGTTGGGGACCCTCCCCTTTGCTCGTCAGCGGCGCTTTGGGCTGCAGCCAATGCCGCCTGGCTTCGGCTTTGAGATACTGTATGTGGGCCACCTCGTGTTTGGAAGACCGGGCTTTGAAAGGCCGCACACTTCCAGTTCCAGAATGGGACAAATTATCACTTACGGAACCCGTCGAATTCGAGGGGTGATTCAAATCGACCGGGGGCGGAAACTCGGGGCTGTCTTCTTGGCTGAGAGGGTCTGGCTGCAAGTGAGCAGTGCTCAAAACCCATGAACCTTTGGTTTCATCAAGATTGCTACAGGCCATCTTTAAAACACGCCTTGGGTCCAGGTAGGACTTTTTAGCCGTCTCGACCTGCTAAAGTGGCCAATTTCTTGCCTGGCATCCAAACCTCAGATGCCCAGAAAAGGGGCATGCTGTTTGGGCTGAGTTTCAAGGGAACTGGGCCGCACTGAGCTGGCAAAAAAACCATTGAGAATTAACTATCAACGCGAAAATCATTTGCTTGTATATGTTACATATGTTCATAGAATATACTAGTCAATCTGAAAAAGAAAAAAAACACGCCGAAAGCGGCCAACTCCGACCATCGCAAAAATTTCCGGAGCCAGATCGCTCCCGGCCTTGATCTGCATGTCCCGCTGGCGCTGCGCAATGCCCGCCGGCGAGGTCGCGGCCGCGGCCTGCAGAGTTTTGAGTCCCCGACATAGGGGGGGGGGGTGTCAATTTGTCTAGGAGAACCCCTGTAGGCTGGGGCCTCAAAGGGGACCAAAAGGAAAGCCACCATGTTTTTATGTGCGTGTTTTTGGTTGTGTTGTTTGTTTGTTGTTTGCGGTTTTTGTATTTTTTTGGGGCGGGGAGGGGGTCCGTAAAAAATGACACACCCATGTCAAGTGAATAATTGCAAAGCCAGGTGTGACTGTGCCGGGCAGCATTGAACTCAACCTGGGCCCACCCTACGTGGGGATGGCGGTGGGACCAGCTCTGCCCATAACCCGTTTGTATTTGTTCTTACTGAGGTGCGGTGGCTGCCCCATATAGCACAGGAACCAAGGGGGCACCTTGCAAGTTGCCGCATTGTAGCAACAGCTTGTGGCTTGATGGAAATACTTGCGCCCGACTTAGGAGCCAAGCCTCCGAGTAGTCGACCTTGAGCTTGCCAGCGATAGCTTCCTGACACCACACCCAGCCGCCCAAAGAGGTTTTCGCCGATACGGCCATGCTTTTTGCGTCACTGATCGCACTTTCAGGGGAAAAACCCAGAGTCTGAAGGTTGGCGGCGCACAAATGCGTCGGCGAACAACCACGGAATCGCGGCCGGCTGGTGCCAGCAGCTGGCCTCTCTCCACTGTTTCAGCAGTGGCGCCTGGCAATGGGGAATGCTCCTTCCACAGGCGCGCTACCTCCTTCTTGATGAACCCCAGTCTGTTCATAGGGGTGTCCGTGGGTTTAGTGATCAGACCACCTTTGGAGGGGCCAAAAACCAACCCCATATTCATGAACCGTGAGCTGATTAACATAAGGGTCAGCATTGAGTCAAACCGCAGATTCCTTGGTGTTGAGGGTAAATGGGACACCACCGCCAGATGGGGTAAATGGCAGACAGGTTTTTGTCCATTTGGGTGTGGCTCAAAAGGTCCATGTTTCCACTTGCCAGGGTTCCATTTTGGAATTCCGGGTTTTTGAGCCACAGCCATTTCTGGCAACATTCAAAGATCCTCCAACAATGCCCTTCAACAGCCCCAAGGCTGAGCTTCACCGGAACTCTCAGGCTTCAGCGCTGGCTCGTGCCCATGCCTCGATTGCCGTGGACAGCACTCGGCCGGAAAATTGACACACCCAAGGAACCTAGGTGGATGCAGCTAAAAAATGGCGTGCATGTATTGGAAACAAATATTGTTCCACAAGCAAATCACGCATCATGCTGAAATGCATGCGTAGGTGATGGCTTCCGACAAGTTGTTTCTTCGGAATCCGACAAGCTACATGTTGCACTCTTCCATTTGCTTAAACCACCTGAAAAAAATATGTTCAGCTTTAAACCAACATTAAAAAAAAATTTAAAAAAAAAAAAAAAAAAAAAAAACAGTCTTAAGCAAATGGAAGGAATGGTCGTATGCCGAGCATGGAGTCGGGAAGTATCGAGCCCCCTGCGGCATCCCAGGCGTCCACTGCGTCCCCCTGCTCTGCCTAGGATGCTTGAGACCGTCGCAAACCGCGCATGAACTTCACTGCTCCCTTGGATCGAGTTGCTCGAAGGAAATCAACAATTCTGGGGAGGTATCTTTACACCCCAATTGCCATTGCCTGAAAGAATTGGAACAAAACCACGTCCCCCCAAACCCCTCCCAACCCCAACCCCCCCCCCCCCCTCGGCTTCCGGCCCGCGCGAAAGCGGCCTGGCGCGCTGCGGCCGCCACCACGTGGGCCGCCCCTTTGGCTGCCGCGGCGATCTCCTCCGAGGCCGGACCCCGAACGTCAAGCGAGAACCAGCGGCTCGGACCGAGGAATTTCAACCCGATTTAACAAAAGGGTGGGGGGAATCAACCAACCAGGATATGAAACTCATCTGGGGTCCATTACAACCAAATGAGTTTTGACCAACCAGTTTTCCATTTATCCCAAAGAACCCCCCACAAAGGTGGGGACAAAACCAGTCTACCATTTACCCCATCCGGCTGGTGGTTTCCCATTTACACTCAACACCAAGGAATCTGCTGTCTGAGGCAATGTTGACCCTGATATTTTATCAACCAACTAGGTTATGCAAATAGGGGGTGGTTTGTGGCCCCTCCCAAAGTGGGCTGATTGGCCACTAAATCCAGGGGTAACCGTTTTCCACCCCCTTAAGCAGGGGTTGATTAATATGGGTTCAACGTTACTGTGGACGGACGCGACTTCCATTTTGCACCACCTGAGAAACCGTGGTTGGAACCATAACGCTCCGGTAGTTACAGGGGAATCGAATCAGAAACCGTTGGGCTTCTGAGCGGTGGTGCGAGGAGCGGAGTTCGCAACCATCCACAGTATAAACCCAAAGAAAGGAAGGGGTGCGTTGGTCTGAAGGGTGAATATTTGGCGCGATTGAAAGGTGGGGAGTGAGGTTTCCCCTGTCCCGTTGCTCGTAACTGCCCCGGCGATTTGCTTGCCAGTCAGGGAATGGCCCCGAAACTTCCCTTGTAGTTTCCGAATCGAGGGGATCCCTAGAAACTTTCAGTGTTATTTGGTGAGTTGTTCGGAAATTGGGAAGGTTTCACGGGAAAACCAAAGTAGACAAACCTGATCTACTGGGTTCCCCGGCAAATTTTCAGAAAGTACCCCCAAAATACATCATCATTTCTTAAATTGGAATCTTGAAGTACCTCCGTTCAGGGATCACCCTCTAAACATCACCCCAACCGGAAACTCATGGATTCCGTATCTCAAAGGTATGTTTGACCACTGGAGGAAATCTGGGGGCCCCTGTGGGCGCAAGCCCTCCACTGCAAGGCCGAGCGGACCCCTCCACGCGCCTCAACTGGTCCATTTGGAGCCCACAAAAAAGCCCCAGGTCACGACCGACCAAATCTGCCAGAAAGTTGTCCCCTCCTGAAAAACATGGAACCTGAAAGGGGCTCCAAAAACCCCTAGCATGCAAATTAGGGGGACCTCCCCCAAACCGTGGTCTTCCTTTGGTTTGCCTTTGAACCAACCTGAAACAGGTACCCGGACAAAACCAACACCCTGAAATATGTTCCTTTGGGAGGCTAACCAACAATTTCCCACTTGGCCAAACTTAGAGCTGCCTCAACTGCTGGTTAGGCAACCCAAGGTACAAACGCCACTTGTCTACTCCTCTGAAGATTGACATGGATTCAAAAAAAAAACGGGTCCCCTCATGAGGGCACATCTCGATCAAACATGGAGGGTATTAACGGGTCTCCTCATGAGGGGGAGATGTCGATGAAACCATCCGGAGTGCCTACTCTCTCCCCGCCAAATCATGACCAACCCCCAAAAATCAAACATGTAACTTACATTTTTGACCCCCCCACCCCAAATCAAGGATCAGTTGAGGGGGTGATAGCCCTCGCTGCTTCCCGGACTGCTCGCTCCCTCCGCTCGCTCGAACTCGCCCCATGTCCTCGAAGGCGTGCCTCTCCACGGTGCGGCGCAGTGCCACGATGTCCTCGGGCGAACGCCGATGCGACTTTCCCTTTGGGCGCTTGGGATTCGATAAAAAACGAACTGTGGGGCAAACAAATCCAATCTTTAAGTTGGAATTTGGAGAGTTTGACTGGCAATTGTGTAGGCTTAGGTACGTGACCCTCAAACTAGCTAGAAGAAGAAAGGGAAGTCACGCCATAATTTTGGGCCAAGAACCCAGTGTTAAGGGAAAATTGAGGGTTGAGGTCGCCGTACACCTTGTTTACCGTTGTTTTAGAGGAACTTCAAAGGAAAACAACTATTTTTGCGTGGGCGTCCCCGATTTTGACACATGCCCTTTGGTGGGTGATGTGCGTGGGGAATTCATGCGCACTCTAGTTCACATCAACTGACTCAAGAAATGCAATGGCAATTGGCTTCTCTTACGTTTCCCAATGGTACCCTCTTCGCTACCGTCTCCAATTTGTCCGGCACTCGAACACACTTGGATAAACCGGGGATTTGTCCAAGCCGTGACTCCCATGATTTTTCGGGGACCCACAAAGGGGGACATCAAAGTTCGGAGGGAATGACAAGGTCAACCAACCAAGTTTGAGGTTCCAACTCTTAGGGGATACAAAGGCCAACCACTTAGGTTCGAACCTGAGTGGATTGACCAAAATAAGTCTGTACTGTTTAGCAAAAAGCAAAGAGCCCAGGACTTCAGGAAGTGAGACAGCCACTCCACAGCTCGTTAAAAACGCGGCGCTTTCTTGCGCTTGCCAGCCGTTTTCTGTTTTTTTCCGACTCGGGCGCCGGCCAGGGCATCAGGTAGCCTCAAAAGGTCCACGACCTGGCGAGGCATGGCATGGCAGCTCTCCTAAATGGGGCCCTCTCTCATTTGCCATGGCACCTGCCAGGAAAATGGTTTCAAACGGAGACCGATCTTCCAAATTCCCGCCCACAGGTGCCATGCTCGTGGGAGAGATGGGCCTGTGTGAACTTTCAACTTACGACCATGGCATGAAACTGCTAAGGTGTGTATGGAGGCTCGAACCAGGTCAGCTTGAAACCAGCTTGCATCTCGAAATGGCTCGGTGCTTCTGAACGCACGTGCCTCATCAGGCCTGAGCGCGGTGCACAAACCCTGGAGCTGTTCGATCACTTCTTTTTGTTTACGTCGTATGCGGAATGGGGCCAACTTTGAGCAAGTGTCCTATAGTATTAAGCTTAATGCAAGCGAAGTTCTTGTTGAACAGGGCTCACTATATCCCCGTTCAAAATCACCAACACGAAACTCACCTAAGAGTAGCAACCAAAGGGATGTGTCACTGCTTTTTTTGGAGGACCAAAGTGGTGGTGCTTTCCTTTGTGTTTCTCTTGAAAACAGAAAAGCCCAGGTGGCATCCCCAACAGCCTGGCACCCCTCGAAACCACCGAATCTCCTGAACCCTCTCTGAAAGCTGGCCCAGACCACCCCTTGTCACCTATCTGGGCTCTGGAGCCCCCCCATAGCTTTTTAAGCTTCTGACCAAAATTCGCTTTTCCCTGGTGGTTTCTTGAAACGACAAAAACTGGCGACCTCCAAAAACCTTCCCAAAAGTTGATGTTCAAACCAAACCCATTGGAGTCAGACCCCAATAGCCGAAAGCGGAAAGCGCGGGAAAGAAAGCCGCGGCCCTGGCTGAGGCGACTCTCCAAGGGCGATGGCCTGCGATGGGAACCCACCAGGTTTCGTCTAACACTTGTGAAACCCAACAGTCTACAACGAAAAACCCGGTGAAATCTCGTAAAAAAGCCACAAGACCGGATGTTCTGGGAACTATGTGCGATGGCCGGCAACCACTAAACCAACGAAAAACCAAACATAAAAGCCAAGGAACCCTTGTTCCTGGGAACCCACCCACGTCACCCCAGCAAAATCCCGCAAAAAGCTAGGGAACCGGATGGCTGGGAACCATGTCAAAATTAAAAACTTCTTTTAAACTGGACACGGCTAGGAACCATGCCAAAATTCACAACAATTTTTTGAACTGGACGGCTGGGAACCATGTCAAAAACCAAAAAGTCGGGCTCCTCGATGTCTGCGTACTGCTCCGGCAACTTGAAGCGGTCCTTGTGATGGGCCATGGCCTGTGGCGAGCGAGCGAGGCGAGCAAGGCGATTCCGTACGAAGAACTTTGGGGGGTGTCGTCTGTTTAAGGTTGGACCGTGGTTTTCCCTTTAAACCCCCCCGGAAAAAGGGGGGGAGGGGTGTTCAAAAAGAGACACACGCACAAGAGGAATCCAACGTGTTTGTGTTCCTGTTGCTTTCCCTTCAACCCCCCCCCAAAAAAAAAAAAGGAACGGGCGAGACATGCCCAGAAGAGGTAAATCATGGTTCCAATGGGAGCTTCCATGAAATCGCCGGGATCCCCAAACCACCAATCCAAACCACCAACTAACGGTTCAGAATGCCCACTGAAAGAGCACCGTTGAAATCACCAGCGCAAAGGTGCTTTGCTATTCGCCGGGAGCCAATCAACGGGGACCTGGCCGACTGACTGACGGCCGAGATCTTGGTTTCGAATTCAGGCAAAGGCCATCGGGAGTCGTCTGAAAATCAGGGACCTGCAACACGAAACCAATTCGTTTCACCTATCTGCGAGCAGTCGACCGGCCACAAGGGCTGCAAGATGGTTTGTTAAATACACCCAAAACTAGAAAAGCGTGGAACATGTAGAATCGAATGCAGCCTTTCACTTAGGCCGCGGCCATCTCGAAGGTGCTTTGAAACGTGTCCTGGAAGGCTCGTGCCTTAGTCGGCCAGTCGGCCAGTCGGCCCGTCGAGGGCTCATTGGCCATCTGTGGCAAGCCTACCCAGAATCCTACGCAAATCTGGGTCAGCTGGGTGAAGGTAGATGGCACAAAAGGTTGTCATCCCCTTCACTGCGACATCCATGTTTGGCCGACCACAACACATTTTCGTGGGACTTCTCCTTCGGATCCCTTGAATCCCTTTGGCCCGGGCTCCAGGAACGTCGCCGGGCTGGAGAGAACCTGCAAGGACTTTTTCAGGCTCCAAATTTCTGCAGACTTCACATAACTTGCGATCGGTACAATAGGTAGGGAATGTGGGAATGAACCCAGGGCTCCCGTTAATAACTTACAGGAAACCACCAGTTGGATGGTTTACAAGGGTCATTCCCGCATTGCAAGACAAATATCAACGGTGTCAAACAAACCGAAATTGGCGAATGGTTTGCAACCGCCACTAGCGCCATTGCAGCTTCAAAGGCTTGGGGTGCATGATGCTGCCTGAGATGCTCGAACACAAGGCTTTCAATCTAGTTCAGAAATTGCAAATTCTTGGTCTATTGCTCGCTAGGGGCTGAAATGCTTCTGGTGTGGGGTTCCGTTGCGATGGGTTTCCTTTTTACCTAGTCACAGGGTGTGTGTGTGTGTGCTTGTGTTTGTGCTTGTGCTTGCCCTTTGTGCTTGTGCGAGTGATTGTGTTTGCGCTTATGTATGTGTTTCTGCCTGCCCGCACGCGCCCATGCACCCCACACGCACCCACACACAGAATTACCCACACACACACACACACTCACACACATAGGCGTCCTTTTTAGGTTAGTTTGGCTACACATAGATGGCACTGGTTTGGATGGGTTGTGTTCCATTTACAAAGGCCATCAATTTTTCCAATTGGCCACCTATGCTCTCACACAGCGTGCGTGGGCGTGTGTGTGTGTGTGTGTCGATGCGACAGGGAGGGTAGGATGAGCAGCTGTTGAACCTGTTGACACGCAACACTTGGTGGCGGTTGGCTGACAAAGTCAAGACCCAAGACCGATCTGCATGCTTGAGCCGCCCCTTCTAAAGCAATACATTTCGACAAACGGGCCATACAGCATTTGCTTTTGACTGCAGCACATGCCGCGTCAGCTCTGCGGCGGCAAGCCGTGGAGCCGCATCTGTACATTCGAGACCATCCCCTGTCCCGTGAGACCAGGGTCTCACCACGTGAGATCCTCTCACATCACGAGAGGGCGCATGCAGCAAGGTGCTGAGGCCGCTCCCACAAACTCCTCAGCGGATGGCCTCAAGCATCTGGGGAGTACTTTGCAAAGCCTTAGTTCGTGCACGCAAACCGATTGTCTCACCGGAAAGAACAATGCTGAGCACGTCACGGTTCAACGCACCGTGTGGCCCGACCAACCAACCAACCAACCAACCAACCAACCAACCAACCAACCAACCAACCAACCAACCAACCAACCAACCAGCCAAAAAACCAACCAACCAACCAACCAACCAACCAACCAACCAACCAACCAACCAACCAACCAACCAACCAACCAACCAACCAACCAACCAACCAACCAACCGGTCAACCAACCGGCCAACCAGCCAACCAGTGCAAAAGCTTAAAGCCAACCAGCTTACGAGACAATAAGGGAAACACGCGAGCCAAGCAAAGCCGAGGCCATGCGAAGCGAGCAGCGCTTCGCACGCCAGCCCTTCGCGTCGCCATCGCGCTGGGGACTCTCAGCCTCAGCCTCTGTGGCTACTGTGCTGGCACAGCTCTCGCCTTGGAAGTCCAAAGTCCCATGGGTTTAAACTGGGCTGCCCTCAGATCCCCTGCTAAAAGTTTAACTTTTAGTTGGTTAAATGGAAATCCCCACTAAACCCCAAAAAGCTAAAAAGCTAAGGGGATGGCTGCGAGCCACCAAGGAAACACCCGGAAATCACCCCAGGTGTAAACCAAAAGGAGATTGAACATGGTTGGATCTGCACATGGGGTGGCAATGGACTTTGGAGACTCTTCAGGCAAGATCAGGCAAGTGGCCCGGTTGTCTGGCCAAGCGAACAAGCATGTGGCATAGTATGCATGGTGGCGTCGGTTTCAGGGTATGTTGTGTTTTGCTTGTGGTCTCTCCTGCCTTGCGGCCAACGATGCCCAACAATTCCTTTCTAAATGATGGTTTCGAAGCACGTTGGAGCTTGAGGGCCCCGCACAGGCGTTGGACAGAAGATGCACGATGATGAGTGGGGACAAGGCTCTTACAAGGCACTGCTACTAAAGGGACCCGGCAAGTTTCACAACAATTGGTTCCAGGCGCTGGCGGATGTGATGCAAGCTGGGCAGGCACCAAGGTCCAGCCAATCCTTTGGCAGCTCTGCTTCACAGGAGCAGCACCTGGCTCGAAAGGCAATCTCAACTGATTGGGATCCAATCCAATCAAATGCACCAAAATGGCAGCTTGGTAAACAGCCGACCGCTCCCATGCGAAGTTCGGATTGAGCAGAAGAGCTACCTTCTCAGGCGTGGAAAAAAGAGGTGTAAAACACAAAACGCAAAGGAAGAAAGTGAACTTTCTGAACAAAAGCCGTGGGTGGCAACTCCAATCTGCTGCTTGTTTGATTTTTTTGTTGGAGCTCTCCTGCCTCGAGCGCGTGACATCACCCTCTCCTCACATCGCGAAGCAAGGCGGCCGAGACGTGTCTCTTCAATTCATCTAGGGACACCAGCTGGTGCCTTCCGTCAAGGGGGGGGTGCCTTCCATCAAGGGGAGGGTCTTCTTGATCAAACCAAGGGGAGTGGTGAAACATGCCACTCTCTGGCTCTCTCTCTCTCTCTCTCTCTCGACCGAATATATGGCTGAGGAGCCGGATGTAGCCCAGCACTCTTTGCAAACGCCATCTCCTCCGGGGCGTTCTGAGATTCTGCCCTCTGGCGTTACATCTCTCTCTCCCCCTCTCTCGGCTCTAGCGCAATCTCCTGGTCCCAAGTTCCGAGCGCTGGAGGGCCATGGAAATCGAAAACACCCGGCAGCACCTCAAAACGTCTCCCTCCCCGGTTCGGTCCTTCGGCCAATTGGCTCCAGGGGCGTAGGACCCCACACCTTGAGCATTCCACGGAGAGCTCCTCGTCCAAGGCTTCAGTGGCTTCACTTTCTTGTCCTCAGCAAAGACCCTGGAAAGCACTACCCCGACAGATTAGCACGGAAACCCCACAAAACAACACAATTTGAAGAGGAGCTCCTTCTGGGGGAGCCCCCCTTTTGGGTTCCATGGTTCCATGCGAATTTGTGTGTGGGGGGTCATCCCATGTTGCGCCTTGACCTTTTTGGCTAAGACAGCACCAAAGGCTTCCAAGCTCGAGCTTCTGTCAGGTGCTTTCTCCGCTTTCTCCGCCTTCTCCAGCTTCTCGGCCTTCTTCTTGGCGATCCATTCTTCCTGCTGCCCTTGGCGCAGGGGGCAAAAAAGCCGTGGGCACGGATACCCTTCCTCCCACTGACATGGCACCTGAGGGAGGGCACCTGAAGATCAGTTTCCTCTTGGAGGGACCCCCTGTCGGGTGCCATGTTAGTGGGAGAGAGGTTACATGGTTCGAAGAACCTCTGTGGTCATTTCGGTGAGTGGCTGGCTTCATCCAGGACCCACTGCGGCGCCGCTTTCACCACTTTGTGCGCCTGAGCTGAGGAGGAGGAGGAGGAGGAGGAGGAAAAGGAGGAGGAGGAGGAGGAGGAGGAGGAGGAGGAGGAGGAGGAGGCAAGGCTAAGGACTGACGATGCTAGTGGTGACGATTATGATCGTTCTCATTTCGAAGCCAACCATGGCTATGAACTGACAGTGTCTTGTTCTGAACGCTCTTTCGTCCAGGGCGCCAGCGCGCCGTGCTTGTCCCCCAACCTCTGCAAGCGTGCGAGGTTTCGTTGGGCGCGCTCCAGTTCGACTTGGTTCGCAGCCGCCCGCAGCTCGTCCATTGCGTCGATCCTCGGTCGAGATTTGCAACCCTCCCGCCCAAACTCCCACCAACGACCCTTCTTGCAAGAGACATGCAAGTGTACAAGCCTCTTTGGAAAGACTACCTTCGTTTGGAAACGGGGACTGTGAACTTCCAGGTTTGCTGGGGTAGAATTCGCCTAACTCCTGACGCTCCGACTGATTACAGCCGGTAGAATGTACCCCTAAGAGACTTTCAAGCTCGTGAGCTTGATGCAGACGGTTAAACCCATTTGCCCGGCATCTCGCCTTCCATTTGCACCTGTGCCCGGGGTTGTCGCCGGGATCAGGAGGCTAAAGGTTAACTGCGGTTTGCCAAGTACTTGCACGGCTCCCAAGATTTCCCCCTGAGACACCCCACCCAAAGGAAACTCATTTTAAAATAAAATGTCACAACTCGTGATGTTTGAAGCCAAGCGAAAACATAACCCAAATGGTGATAATTGAAACCAGAAGGGAAAATAAATAAAAACAAAATATTGGAAGCCCATCCTCTCTCCTGCCAGAGTGGCTCCTTGCTGGGCCGCATCAGCTGAGATGCCACTGCCTAGCCAAGCTGAAGCAGGGAAGAAAAAAGGCAACAGCCACAAAGCCACCTATCAAGCGGGTCTCCACTGGTGCTTTTGCATCCCGGTTCGTCCTTGCTGCGAGCTGTGTTGGGCTCTGGGCTGTTTAAGGCAAATGGGGATTTGAATCCGCACCTGCGTGCTTTCCTGTGATTGCCAAGTCAAAATACACATCTCCAACGTGACCGTACTTGTTGAAGCCAACTCGGAGGATGCAACTCTGTTTGTTCGAAACGCTTTATTTTTTTGCGTTGTCTTGCTGAAGTGTGTGATGGATAGTCTTCATCGCCAGCAGTGGCTTTCCTTATCTACTTGTTTCTTTCTCGCTTTCATGCTGTCTTTCCTTCTTGCTTTCTTTCTCCTTCTCTCGCTCTCTCTCTCTCCCTGTATCTTTTCTCTCTTCACCCTTCTCAATCGCCAGCCCCGGGCTCCGGGAAAATGAACATGGTTTGGCATTGGCCGCATTGGCCAATGTTCCACTGGCTCCGGGTTTGGTCCGTCAGGTGTCCTCTTGCTGAACCTCCCAACATCTCCAACATGGGTCCATCTTCTTTTGAGGTACCTGTTTTTCGTTGGTGTTTCAGGGAAACCAACAGGACAACCAGCCATTTTGAAGGGGTCCCGTGAAAAAAGACACAACTAGATCCAGTTGTGATGGAGTGGCGTGGTCTTGTCGCACATATCGGCGACATGATACGTTTGTCCTGATCAGTTTGGTTTGCGTCCTTTGAAGCTCTTTCTTCATTCGCCGGCCGGGCTGTAGCGAGCTTGGTGCACCCAAACGCAACTTTAGCGCCAAACAACACAGCAATGGAAGCTTGATATGGGGATCTCTCAAAAATAGAACCCATCTTTCCGAATTGAAACCCCAAACACACACATATATATATATATATATATGTGTGTGTGTACTATATACGTATATGCATATACAATGTATATGCAAATGCCATATAAATCATTGGCATCAGGTCCATTTGTTTTGTGGGTGCATCGGCCCAGGCCCCGGGGCATTTCTCTCTCCGCGGTTTTCGGCCTCGGAGGAGCGGTCCACCGCGGACTTCTCGGGGCGCAGCAGCTCCCCGGCCCTGCGCTGCTGCTCCAACTTCCGGAGCCGCTCCTCCTCCGAGACCTCGAGCTTTCAAGGTTCGCTTTTTCCAGCCTGCCACCCTGGCGCGACCTTTTGTGGAGAGGGGTACTTACCTCGGACACGCTTCCCTTCAAACTGCAAGGAGTCCAGCTTCCCGCGAGGGGGGCTGATGGATGGCCGATGGGGGCAAGGCTCACTTCTGGGGACGCTAAGGCTCACTTGTCCGAATTCCGATCCAGTGGGTTGGCCCCAAAACAAGTCACCGAACCTTTGGCATTTGCAAAGTGGTCCTCCCAAAAAGTGTAAAGTCCATGAACCCAGGAAGTGAGAAGGGGGTTGGTAAGGCTTGGAGTGGTGGCTTGGAGTGGTGGCTTGGTGGTTCAGTGCGTAGTGCGTGTCAACAATTGTTTTCCATTGCCCTACACAACTACATCGCATGCTGTGCATTTGAGGCTTTCCCAAAGAGTGCGCACCATGGATTGCTGCCGTGGCTCGTGCACAAAAGCAGCTAGAAGGTGTTTTAATGATTTCTTGGACCTCCCAATGTTGCAGGTAAGTTGACCCCGTCCAAGCGCACAAGGCTCGTAACTTGCGCTAAATTGCAGTGGTGCGAAATGGATGTTGTCCACAGTCGGCACTGGGCCTGCCTTTTGCCCTTCACAAAGTGAGGGACCCTTTTGAGGGTTGCTTAAAAGGAAGCTAAAGGAAACCCCACCAATTTGGGGGGTCTCACGCGGATCGCCCCATGTTGGATCAGTTCAGATCTACACCGCCTCTCGCTCAAAGGGAAACATCCAAACGCAAAGTGCTGCGAATTCCAGCTTGTAGTCAAAGTGCACTTGAACACTTGCAAATCCACAAGTTGCACCAAACAAGGCCCAACGCTTTAACCAGGGCGCGATGAAATCCGGGAGTTTCCGGTGTGGGTCATGGTCCTCCGTGCTGCCTGTGGAGTTGATATGCTTCACGCTGTGGCCGGCGGCCACCACCTCGTCAGCGATCACCTGGCGGGCAAAATGGTTGGCGTTTTTGGTTTGACAGGGGGGGGGGTCCTGGAAGACCATGTGGCTGTGGGTCAAAACCAATGGGATGCCATTTTGGGTCAGGTGCACCACCCAGTTTAGTCTATTTTAGTGGAGATTGGGATGTTCACTGCGGGTACGGACTTTTGACCCATGGCCATGTTCCTTTTAAAGGGATCCCCTGTCAGGTTCCATGCAAATTGTATGGGAGGGTAATTCGGGCTTTATGGGGAGTAATGACCCTCTTTGGTTTAATTTCGACAAATCTGGTTGGACGCTGTGGTGGACATCAGTTGCCGGGGTTGTTTAATAAAAGGGGGGGCCCTAATTGTACTCCGTAGTCCGTAACGACTTCACTCCTATACAACAAGGAAAGCCACGACCATCTGGCAGGAAGGAGCAAGGATTGATGCTAAACAAGCCAGTTTACATGGTTGGACTTCTTGCTGCTAACGATTTTCGATGGTGTTCACTTTCATCGGCAAAACCGATGGCCAAGCCGTTGCAACAACAACTAGACCCTCGTCCTTCCAAGGGCAACCAGCAAATTCATGCCGCCAAAACAATGGCTTGCACCCTGCTTGAACTGTTCGTTGTCCCCTGGCTCCAGCGACCCAGCAAGGTCAGTGGTGCAAACCTCTTGGACGCTTCAGGTGCTCTTAAGCACTCCAAGTGCTCGGGTCTTGGGATAGGGCGAGCATGGCCCAGGTCAACGGAAGCCAGTTGACTAGGAACTTTCTAGTAATGGAACCAGTTATCCAAGCCCTCAATGGTGAAAGCTAGAATTTCATGCATCTTGAGCTTTAACTACGGGCTAGCAGTTCCCCGGGGGATTCCAAGCCCCAGTTAGCACTCTAGCGCTGCCTGTCAAACAATCTGGGGGCGAATCTGCCTTCAGCCCCCCTCCTCGCCTGGCGCCGATCGAGGCGCCAATCCTGATCAAAACCCAGGAAGCACGTCCCGCCACGCTTCGCGTGCCACACCAGCTCGATGAGGGCGTGTTGCGCCTGAAATCGCAAGACTTCGCACTCCAGGAACGAGCCAAAACGGGGCAGGATGATTATGTGGAGGACCCATGAGGAAAGTCAGCCTGGAAGCTAACCATTTGGAGCCGATGTTTTGCGGAAGCTCAGCTTGAAACCAAGCAATTCGAGGGCTATGAGGGCTTCTTTTTGCTTTCGGGAGGCCTACAGCAGGCCGGCCTCGTCTGTCTTGACGTGTTTCAAGATCCCATAGGCTGTCTCCCTGCCGAGGGCCACGTGCTTGTACCTTGTCATCGATCGAGGGCGCGGTCGAGCTGGGGGTCTGCCCATCCCCTTTGATTTCTTCCTTGGGGAGAAGGCTTAATACCCATGCTCCCACCAACGCGTCACCTGAAGATCAATTTCCTTTTAAAGAAACCTAGCAGGAGGGCCCCCCGAAGAAAACAAAAAAACACGCCGGCGACTTTGCCGGCGACCAAACGCCCCCCAGCCCGGGCTTTCCGTCCGGGCAAGCCGCGCGAGGCCGCGCACGCGGCAGCTGGACTTCAGCGCCCGCACGGAGAAATGCTCGCAGGGCGAGTGCACGTCCCCCCGGTGGTCGCTGTGCCTACCGCATGGGGCAGCACATGAACCTGGATCAAGCTACCCATCAAAAAGGGGAATGCCCCCCATGGATAGCCATAATTTTGGGGGGGTAATCACCCAATCCAGGAACTTTGGAGGGTCTAGGGACTCACTTGCGGATTTGTGGTGCATCTGGAACCGCGAGACCAAACTCTCCCCTGGCTACGTTGCTTGTGCCGGCCGGACCTACCGAAGCCTTTCTGATGGAGTGGCCAAATAAAAACCAAACTGTTTGTTTGCCACTTTTTCAAAGGATTACCCTGTTGTCCACTAACATGGAACCCACCAGAGGGTCCCTTTTCGAGGAAAAGTTATCTTCTAGGACCCCCCCCCCCGTGAGGTTCCATGCTGGTGGATGTGAGGCTAAACGGCACAGGAACTCGGGTAGTGAGTGAAACCCTCCATTCTCTCAGCGCCGAGGCCTTAGTTGGCGGAACTTTAGTTGGTTCTACGAGTACGGAATGGGAAAACCAAAGCGGGAAACCCAAACGGCGTTCCAGGTCAGGATACGCCGACTGGACTGAGATACGCCGCATATATGCCAATGGACCCGCCTAAAGTCATAGAGCACTCGCACCGAATTCACCTGCAGCAGCTCGAAGAAGCTCCTCGGCTGGTTTCAACAACAGATGTTCAGCTCTTCGAACGTCTTGACCAAACAATCTTGCTGGTGCCCAGAAGGGGATGAGGGAATGATCCCTGTAAACCATCCCTTGTCCTTTAAGGGGGCCCCTGATTTAACACCCTGGGCCATTCCTACCGAGCACCAGCAAGCAACTGAGCCATGCGAAAATGCCGATCGATTCCTCCGCGATGACTGGGCTGTTCACAATGGTTCGGTTTTCTAATTAAGTGCAGTGGCCAACCCAAAAATATGGGTTTGTGTTGGTACGACTCATCAGGTTTAGCAGCAGGAACAAGAAGAAAGGTTCCTCCCGAACAAAACGGTGCTTAGAGCCTGCATAGAAGGGATCCCGAGAACATCTCCAACCTCAAAAACGTCGCCCTTAAAGTGTGCTTCAATATAAAATGGATTCCACTACCACAACCCACTACCCCCCAAGCCCTGAGGCCCTATCCCCATGGATTTCATAAAATACCACGTTTTGTTTGGCGTTGAAAAAATAAAATAACGAATGCTCCTTTTCCCCCCTTGAAGCAGTTTTTCCTGGGGTGGCAGTTCCAGAGACGGAGCTCCTCTCGCTGATCTGGCCGTGGCCAATGGACAGGCAGCTGGCCTTGTCCATGGTCGGCAGGGACAAGGTCTCACGCACAAAGTTGGACTGCATCAGGTCCCCTGAGGCAAAAGGGCCAATTGGGCGGGATAGGACCCCCAAACCACGATAGAAAGTGGGAATAGATTCATGTAAAATGTTTGTATGTATCACCACTATACATAACCACCCAGAACAGCATCATAGAGGCACTTCTTCAAAGTGATACCCCTTCTTCTGCTTGGGAGTAGCGGTTTGGGGCTGGAGGGCAGCAAAGGACACACCAGCTAGCAAGTGGTTTGGGGTCGACATGCGTTGCGAACTCCGCGAAAGCCCCGCGTATTGCCTCAACAGCCTAAACTGGGCTGTTTCCAGTTGTTCTGGGAACAGTCTAACTTTTAGTGGTTTAGTGTAACCACCAAACCCTAAAAAGCTAAAACCTAAGGGGATGGCTAGGAACCACCAAATAAAGCTGAAGATCCTAAACATCCAGGTGCCCCTGACGCGTCTGTTTTGGCTCTTGCGACTTCGCTTCTTCTGCGAGATTCTGAGAGCACAAAGCGGAAGCACTCTGCCGCCACCTCACGAAACCTAAGCGCCGGGCCTTTTCCGTGCCACTTCTCCGCGTCCTCGCGCCTCATCTGCTGCTCGTATTCTTCGAACTGCTGCGCCAGCAGGAAGGATACGTCTGCACCAGCCCTTGCGAACCCGCAAAAAGCACTCGCAGCCCAAATGGTATCAGTCAACTATGGGAAAGGGTTTTTTTTTTTAAAAAATCCATCTAGTTGTTGCAGCATTGTGCTGAACAGGCAAAAGGCTTTTCCGCGGCCGGCATCAGTCCAACTGTCAAAACTGCTACAATGTGCGATCCATTGTCAAGGTCGTTCATCACAAGTGGAGCCTTGACAACCCTCAGGTGGTTGAGGCTTTAAGAAATCCGAGTCCCCGATTGTGTGCGTGTGGGAGTGTGTGCGAGTGATGTGTGTCAAGCTACCTTTTTTGGGTGTTTTTGAGGGGACACCAACAGGAAAACTACTATTTGTTGGTTCATTTGTGTGTTGTTGTTTTTCTTGGGGTGGGGGGGGGGGGGGGGCGGGTCCCCGAAAAGAAGATGCACCCCTTTGTGAACCAACAATCGAGCTATGAACTAAATCAACTCGAACTGGGAGCTGCACAAAGGCGCATTTGCAGCCGGAGCTCTCTTCTTCCTCCAGCTGGGCAGCAAAGGCCGCGTCCGCATCCTCGCCGGCGACGCCCACATCACCTTAGCTCGCCGGCCCGGTCCAACCAAAGCTGTGAGGCTTTTGTTGCGCCAGGCGGCAAAGGCCATCCATCTGAAGCTGCAGGGCCAATGCCACATCCTGTCTCCAGTTCCATTTCTGAATTTGTATCTCAAGACAAGTTGGATATGTTGTTCTTTAGGAGACCCTCATTAAAGTGGTGGGTTCCTCTGGTTTCCCTTTAGAACCACAACAAAAAGGCTAGTCTGCAAAAAGACCCTCCTTTGGCTTCTGAAGCTATGCACTTCCTGTGTGGCCATGCGCCGGTCTCTCAGACCGCCGACTCCTTCTCCAACTCCTTCTCCCTCTTGGCCCAGCGATTGCGGGGCTGGGACGCCGCGGGTGCAGAGGGCTGGGATGAGGACCCCGAAGACGAGGACGCCGGCAGAGCCATGAGGTCGCAGCAGTTGCAGCCGGCCAAAAGCAGCAGTTCCGCTGCCTCCTCCAGTTTTCCACACCCAGGCCATGGGAAAAAGGGCAGGCACCCTTTGGAAAGGGAAGAAAGGTGGCCGGATCATACTCAGGAAGCAAGGGGATGCATCAGACCCCAAGCCTTTGAAAAGGAGTGGAGTTATGCTGAAGCACACGCATCCATCGTATATGTTTCTTGTTGAACAGCAGTGGCAACCTTCCGTAACACGCACCATTGCCACCCCCCGAGCTGCGATGGGAAAGAACGGTTGGCAGCCTCCCAACAGTAGGGGCGTTTGCTATCATGGTGACAACAGTTAAGTAAAGGAAACCCCCGACTTGTTGCGGGTCCGAGTCACTGGATTTCCCCTTCAAAAGTGGTAAGTTAGTTAGAGGTCCAAAAAAGAGACATGGCTGGGAAACCTGGAAAAAACTTTCCAGGTAGGGTAGCAAAAAGACTGTATTTGTCGGCGGCCCCTACTGAAAAATGAACAGAACCAAAAAACACCCAAAACGACCAAACAAAACTGACTGACAACACTGAAGACAAGGAAAACCCAACGCTTTTTGGGGGGAAACCTGACAAACCGCCAAATTTGGAGAGGTCCAAAAAAACAGGGAACCACTTGAAAATCAGCAGAACCCGATGTTAAGGTTGTCCGCACCCCTGTACTTCAGGGCCTCCGGGTCGAAGTGGGCGGACTGCAGGGCCTTCTTGGCGTCGGTTTCCTCGAAACCCAGCTGCACCAGGCTGCACAGCGCCTGGTAAAAACTTCCATCGGGTCGACTTTTACGGCCAGAAGGGGGGGGGGGAGAGGAGACAAGGGGGGATGTAGGGGGGATGTAGGGGGGGGAAGTTAGGTCTTGAATTGTGTTTTTTTGTTTGAGGGTCGGGGCTTGGCCCGGGGGCAGGTTATCAAGTTGCTTCTTGCCACAGGTGCGCACCCGAGAAAAAAACATGCTTTGGATTTGAAAGGGCAAACCAATCCAACCCCTTCCTTGCTCGCAGGGAATATGCTATCATCAACCATTCCATATGAAACTTTCCATGGCTGGAAGGGATTGGGCGTCTTCCCTGATCCCAATATGAACCCTGGGGCTCATGGTTCGAATTTTCTGGTTGACTCCAAAGGACTGGATTGCCCAAGGGGTTCCTTTACATCTTTCGCACTTTCGCGTCTCTGGGCACCACTAGCCATGTGCCATCTAAAATCAGATGGCCCAACCAGCACCCTGTGCCCTTGTGTGAGCCATTTGGGTACCAGTTGACAACCCTTGGAGGCTGCTGCTACTTTGGTGGCTCATGAAGCCGAAAGAAACCTCTGAGTCTATGGGTCCCTTTAAGTCCGGAAGGGTCACACCCACTTCACTTCGGCGGTTTTTGCTTGGTATTTTCCGGACCTGAGCACGATGAGAATCGCTCCAGAGCGCAGCTTCGTTCTGATCTGCGCCCAACTGATGAGTGGACTGCAGCTTGGCGAGCTCATTGGATCGCCGAGGGTCCTCGGGGTCTGTGAGGGTCTGCCACTGCTTCCTGGCGCCAAGGTGAAGCAGGGGTTGGACAACCCCAGGCCTTAACACCCACCGTTTTCAACACCCTCCTTGGGGTTCCCCGTTTAAGAGGGTGACCAGATCTGCGGTTTAAACCAATGTTGGGCCCAACCCTGGATGCCAAAGTGGACTCAAACTAAAAGGAACAAACAACACCTAATTGGGTGTGTCATTTTCCAGGGGAACCCAAAATGGTGGTCTTCTTTCTTGCTTCCCTTTAGACCCAAAAAAGGGTACCCTCAAAAAAACCGACACACATTTGCTTGCTCAGCTTCTTCATCTGCATCTGGGTGGGATAGAAGAAGATGGGCACTGTGATCCGGCCTCCTTCCACCTGTCACATCCCTCCGCGCTACTCAGAGGTCTCAAACTCTGATCCCAACATCCAATCACTGCTTCCCATGTCCATTTATCCCCGAACCGAGCTCTGGGGAAAGAAATAAAAACAATTCGTCTGGATGATTCTGTTCGGAGTCTCCGAACATCGACCCGTTGCTGACCCTCATCCCTCGCGGCGAGGGATGTTCGGGCATGAAACCTCTGGCATCTTGGGGACTCCGTGGCGCTGGGTGCCAAAGATCACCAGATCGCAGTCCTGAGGCCAAAACCCCTCCGAGTTTCGTGCGCCGAGGAAACAACTGGATCCCTGCTGGGAAGGGAAGATGAAAGCCGAAATCCATTTTGGGGACCCGGCCCAACAGGTATTTGAGGACGTCTTTCCTCTTGTTCCATACTATCGAAATCCGTTGGCTCCACAAAACAAAGTATTTACGTTGCGGAATCGAATCATTCCGTTGGGTTTCTGAGGTGGGGCGAATGGATTCCGCTGATGATATCTCCCGAAATCGATGGACCCTAAAAAGGTGCAATGCCTGAAAGGCCACCGGGGACGTCCACCCCAGTCGAAATCCGTCCCCCCACAGTTGTCTACGGCCCGGCAATGCACTTCTGGATCCTTGAGTGCATAATTAGCTTGGGTAAGCCTAAATCGCCTCTCAGAAATGGGCCCTTCGGATGCTACATGGCCGCCCTTTGATGCAGACCGTATGGCCGTCCTGCAACAAGAGCGGCGTCTTGTCGATGGTCAGGATGCGCTCATGGCCGAAGGAGAACAAAGCAGTCCAGCAATCGTGGCGATGGCTGCCCAGCACAGAATCCCCATCCTGAAATGGGTACCCCAGATGAGTAAGCCTGCCCTAGTAATTTTGGGGGTGCTCATTGCAAAAGTGATGAATTCTCCACTAAAAAGGGAATCCCGCCATTAATCAACCAGACGCTCAACTTAGATCTGGGGTCAAACTGGGGGTCCAGAAATCTCGGGGCTTTCCTCTTGTTCCCCGTCCAAACCCCAAAAACGAGACTCTCAAAGACAAAATCCCACAGCCAACACTTATGGGGTCCACTGGAGGTAGTATCGCAGCCAGCGCGAACAACAAGAATCGACCTGTGTTTTGTGTGTTTTGTCTTCTGTTCTTTTTTTTGGGTTGGGGGGGACCATGACTGCTGTAGATGTAAAGAAGTACAGAAGGCCAAAAACGGCCTTCTGAGTGTCGCTTCGCCCGAGCATCTGGATACCAATTCAGCGCAATGCCTGCCGTCCGATCCGCGAGGCCATACTCTGCGAAGAACTGCTGGAGCAGTTGGTCGAAGGCGGGGGAAGAGCCTTGCTTGTACTTTGCGCCTTGGTTGCCCTGCAGCTTCATCTTGCCCTCCTGCAATGCTGCAAAGCTGAACATGCACAAGGAGTTCGGAGAACATGTGCAGTTCAGGCAGAAGCGGCGTCTGGAAAAACATGCAAAGCATAGTGGCTCGCAAGACTTGGGAGAAAAAGGCTTTGCGTGGGCAAGCTTCCTGATTGACAAAACATGAGGTTTGAGGGGTGCTTGTTGGACCTCCTTTTCAGATCGAGCAAAGATCCAGGAGAACACCCAGCGGTTCCCAGACTCATTTTCTTGGAACAACTCGGTTAAAACAACACACGTCCAAGCACAGGTGGCTGGCGATTCGAGAAGTTAAAAGGAACCAGAGGCGACCCACCCGAAGCGGGCATGTATCTTCTCTCGAATCACCCTCCCTTGCAGCCGTGCTCCGCCCACCAACCCTTATGTCAAGACTTGCGACCCCCTTGCTTGGCAAATGTGCAATTCTGGCGGCACTGGCATGAAAACACGACTAACTATTGGGGTGGGGTCAGGGCTAAATTTGAGACATTCCCAAAGGAATCCTCTGCAAAGCGGGCAGATTTCAGGTCTCGTCGTTCCTAACCATACACATTCCCACTCTCAAAACCTATCAGCATCCAGGCGAGTTCCGGAAAACAAACAACGTCGTTGGTCCTTGTCATACTTGACATGAGAAGCTCCAGTGGAGAAGTCCCGGGTTCGTGCTGCCGAACTCTTCCACTCGGTGTTCTTCAGCAGCTCCTCATAGATTGCCGGATCCGCCGCATATCTCCTCGCCCAAATCTTGGCTGCGGGGATCCCTTGACAGAATTGAGTGTGACCTTAGGAAACGAACACGGGGTCCCTTTAAAAGGAAAATGGTCCAAACCAGGACCCCCCTGCACGTTGATTGGTGGGAGTGTGCTTTTCATGCAGCACTCCTATGCTGAACGATTCGGTACTGGTTGCGTCTTTTAGCAGCTGCGCATGACATGTCCAAACAACGGAACCACGACTAACATAAGAAACCCTCATGAAGGTCTGTCCCTCGTGTTAGTGGGGACGGGATCGATATCTCAGTCGGTGAGGCCTGGTAGAACAAGGGAAATCTCGGAGCAAATGAGCGGATGCCTTCCAACATCACCCTGCCACAAGGAGACGTAAAAAAATGGCCCTCAAATGGCCAAGGCTGAGGTTTAAATCACCCGACATAGCAAGACGCAATCTATACACGCCATAGATGCATCCGGCCAGCACCCTCCTGTGCACTAACATGGAAGCTGATGTTTCGGGGTCCTGGAAGTCAACCTTTCCTCTAAGATGGAACCCTCTGGTGGGTTCCATGTGGATAGGAGGGGTTGATCCATATTCTTGGCCCCCAAATGACGATGGCTACCTGTTCCATGTGGTTGAAATATCATCTTTTTGTGGTTTTCCAACCAGCACCCAAATGTCCATCTCCCCTGATCCATGGGTGCGCATCGGTCCTCCGGACCTCCACGTCACGCCACCAGGCGGCCGTGGAGGTGGCTGAGTCCTCACCCAACAAGGCAGCGCTGGTGGCAGTCTTCGAGCCCAGTTCCTTGGACATGTATTCCTCAGCCGGGGTTGGGCAACAGGAATCACCGGAGGGGAATTTCTCCAAAGCTAGCAAAAAAAATACAGGTGGTTGCCGTTGAAACTGCCACTGTTGGAAAATGGAAATAGAGGAAACCCCGAATCACCCACGCCCAAAGCCACGCACCAACGACGCACTCAGAGACTTGGCTCCGAGGTTCATGCACCCCCCAGGGTCGGGGGACCTCCCTTTCATCCTTCTGCCACCACTTGGCCACGAACTGCTCGGAACGGCCAAGGAGACCGGCTATCTCCGCCTTCCAAAAAAAGAAGCATTGAACACTGAAAGAACGGTCTGCAAAAATTGACGCCAGCTGGAAATCCTTCAACGCAGGCTAGCAAATGTGGCTTGTTCTCGTGGTCACAATATCCGTCACGATTCCAGGTCCTGGCATCACACCCGTTTGTTGAACAAAGACATACCAGCTTCGCTTGCCTGAGATGTTTCCCCAAAATCAGCCGCCAAAAAAATGGATCCAGGCGCTAGCAACCTGTCCACATCGGGAGATTTACTCCAAGAAAAGAAGAAGTCCTGTTTCAAGAGCTTCCAGAACATGCTCTTTAAGTATGGACCAAACTATAGCCTCCCTACGCCTTGAAAAGCCGCATTCGCGCTTGCTAGTTTTCTTGTTCCGGCCCACAAAGTGGGTAATCACTTTTGAACAATGAGCCACCCATATTTGCCTGAGGAGTTCCATCATCTAAATTGGGTCCTTGCCATCCACTTGCTTACGTGCCCTGGGAAAAAGGTAACATTTGTCCAGTAGTGATAGATTCCCTTCAAAACCAACAGGGGGACATGACACATATTCATTTCAGCATAATGTGGGGTGTAACACCTTTGGGTCTCGGACCCTGCCTTGGTCTTCCCTTCCTTCCGGAAGTGGATGGCTCGGAGGCGGTCCTGAAAGACCTCATGTGTCACAAGCGGGGAATTTGCAATGCGTCCACTTTCACATGGGCGTGGGTCAAACGTAGGTGCCCAAAATGGAACCCTGGAGAGTGGAAACAAGGACTCCAGGATCAAGGGGACCAACCCGGAAGGTGACCCAACCCGGCGAATCGTGTGCACGCTTGAGGCTGTTTGGTAGCGGCCTGTCCCAGCCGAATCTATTTCCCCATGGCCAAAGCCCACTGTTGGCCCCAAAAGGCCCAAAACAGCGTCTGCTGGCCACGTTCCAACAAGTGCCAAGTCCTGCCAAGTGGCCTTGTGGCCCTCTGATGAGTTGGACTCAAAATGGCCCTCTAGCTGGAAGTGGCTCTCGTCGAACTCGGTGATCTGCTCGCCCTTGTTCGCAAACTCGATCCATCTGTACACTTTCGCGGCCCTGAAAGCTGACAAGTTTAACAAGTCCCAAGGCCTTCCGTATGTTCCAAAATGGGACAAAGTGAGGGGGAATCTGGCTTAGTGGGAGACCACTACATTGGAATCCACTACTATCTGGCACAGTGATTCAGGATTGCTTTGAACAAGCCAGTGAAAAGGCATTCCAACGGAGGTTGATGCCTTTGTTCGTGAACTCCTGGCTGTCGGGTTATTCCAATATGGGTGCGGAATTATTTTAGGATTTTTTTTCGTTATTTTCCTTGTTTAGCATGCCGGAAGCCAACGCCACCAGAACTCCGGAAAAACTACTTGCCAAGGAGCAACTGGGCATGCAGAGGATGCAAAGAGCCAAAGAAGCCAAGAAGCCAAGAAGCCAAGAAGCCAAGAAGCCAAGAAGCCAAGAAGCCAAAAAGCCAAGAAGCCAAGAAGCCAAGAAGCCAAGAAGCCAAGAAGCCAAGAAGCCAAGAAGCCAAGAAGCCAAGAAGCCAAGAAGCCAAGAAGCCAAGAAGCCAAAAAGCCAAAAAGCCAAGAAGCCAAGAAGCCAAGAAGCCGAGAAGCCGAGAAGCCGAGAAGCCGAGAAGCCAAGAAGCCGAAAAGCCAAGAAGCCAAGAAGCCGAGAAGCCAAGAAGCCAAGAAGCCAAGAAGCCAAGAAGCCAAGAAGCCAAGACGCCAAGAAGCCAAGAAGCCAAAAGCGAAAAAAATTCCCAAAAAAACACGAAAAAAATTCCTAAAATAAATACCCCTCCTTCCAATATTCCCATCCTGGCCTCTAAGCCGGCAATCCTGGATGCATACACTCCCTCAGGCTAACACTCCCTCAGCCTAACATGGAAGCTCCCAGAAGGCCTCTGTAAATGGAACCAAGTCTTCCAAAAAAGGTCCTGGGAGCTTGCATGTTGGTGTGGGGGAGGGTAGGGCTGTGGGGATGGAATCCACCAACCATCCTACCGAATTCTACCAAAGGGGTCACCGGGACCCAGCCACAAGGTACTGCCAACTGTGCCGAAGGCACTCGTTGCTCGCCGGCCGCGACGCGTCTGACAGCTTTTGCAAGGGCATCGCAATGGCAACACAGCCGCGGGCGTTGAGCCGTGAAACTGCAAACGCGGGGATCATGGCAAGTGAGCTGCGCAAGCGTGCAAATTTCACATCAGCTCCTTGGGATACCCAGTGCACACAGGTAGGGGCGTCGCAGCGCCGAATTGACCGCCTCTAACCCGAGCGCCAACCGCCACAGCAAATCCACCCTGAAAAATCCAATGGATACGGGATCGTTGTTGCCCGCGGAGGCGACACAGCTGCTTCGATTTTACCATATCACGTGCCGTTAATTCAGAATGCAAAAAGGCGAGCCACCAAGCCATGAGCCCCCAAGAACCAAACAAGCGGCCGGCTTCTGCGCCAAAAGCCTACCAGTGGTACTCCCGAAACTCCCAAGACCGGAGTAGACTCACCAAATCCCAAGTCAAGCGTAGGGGTTCTCTCCCCTCGACAATGGACGGCCTTCAGGCTCGCTAGCTCCAGCTTTTCAGTAATTACACGTGAGGTTGATCCCAGGGGCGAAATCCACCCAACAACATAAAAAAGTGGGTGTGTCTTCAAAGAAAATGGACCCCCTTTAAATGGTGGGTTTCATGTTTGTTTTTCCTGAGTAGATTGGCCAAAAACAGGCTGAACTTTCTGTTTACCACTAAAAGGGTATTCCCAAAAGCTTAAAGTCCAGGAACTCAAAAAGTGAGCTTAAGACCATGCCGAAAAGGGGTAATTACGCTCAAAAACAAGACACCCACCACACATAAACCAACTAAATGGTGGGTTTCATGTTGGTCGCCATTTTTGACGCTTGAAACAAACCGCCCACGGCAACGGGGTGCCATCAAACGACAACGGCGCCTTTGAAGCGCGACCGGTAGCTGGCGAGGGCCAGCCGTGCAGCCTTCCGAGGAGCCCCGGAGCGAGCACCCCAAGTAGCTCGCTAGTCCGATAGGTGGAATGACCACAAATAAACCAGTGCCATAAGAAACTCATAAACCACTTCTCCATGACCATAAACTCCATAGCTAGAGCAACCACTCCATAAACCATCCCTATAATTCAGGGTCCAAACAATATACAAACAACCAACAAACAAACTAACTCCTAATTTTGGTTTCCTGTGAGGGGATCCCCTTCCAGTTCATTCCCGACATCCAGGTAAAAGGGTGGTTTTACGGCCTGGTGTGTACAAAGAAGCGAAACGTGGTGCGGTGCGACCTGAAATATTTCACGTGGTGTCCTGTGTTGACTTGGCTCACCGAGAGTGGATGACCGACCACTACACCGACTTCCAACACATCCAAACCTGGAACTTGTTGAAACAGGAAGCAGCCCATTCTGCCCCTGGCTTTCACAGCCTGAACTTGAGGCGATGTCCCGCAGTTACCGATGCAGTTCTCACACAACGGGCAGTGGTTTGGGCTAAGTGGAAATCCCCCATGACTCCAGTTGCACGGCCTGCTGCATGATGTTCTCTTCCCGATGCCTCCTGCAGGAGTGCGGGAGAGGAAACCAACGGCCACGGTTAAGCATCCGAGCTATCATGGTCCAACCTACCCACGGTTGCTTTCTGCTCCCCTGCTAAAAGTTTAACTTGTAGTGGTTTAATGGAAAACCTGTTAGTTGGCAAAAAGCTCAAGTCCTAACATCCAAGCACAATGCACCAAAGTACCATGGTCACTTGGGGCCCCAGTCGAACCTCTCCTCGCCAAGGACTCTGCCGTGCGGTTGATCCAGTCGGGTGGCCGGCGCCTGCAAGTCATGTCTCAAGCCGAGGCCGCTGCGCAAAACGAAACGCATCGAAAACCGCCCGGCCTCAGCAGTGCCCAGCACAAGTCCGAAACGAAGTGATTGCAATTCTTCCTGGCCAATGAAGAACTCATTCCTGTTCGCCAAGTTCACCACGCATTTTGTTTTTGGGGGGGTTCAGGATTCCGCCAACCAAACCCTAAACGCTAAACCCGGAAACCTTAAACGCAACGGCGCGAACAGCCCAACAGCTGGGACCCCTCCCCTTGGAATCTGCCGAGGGCGCTCGAAGAGGTTGTAGTTCGGCCCTGTCCTCAGGGGGCCACTCAGCCACTCCTTCTCGTCAGGTGTCAGTCGGAAAAGGCCGCGGCCAGTCTTCCGAGCTGGAGATTTTGCGAATGATGGCATGCACCTGGCCCGAGTTTCAATGAAAACACACCGTCTGAAGCCAAAAGGATCCCCTCCCGAAAAGTGCCAAGTGACAACTTCTTGCTGATTGAAATGGATGGAAGAAAACAGAACGAGGCAACAGGCCGAAACGGCTTCCGCGTTTGGTCTGGCAACATTGCAGAATCTGAACTTCGAGTTCTGCGCCTGGTCGACCGAACCACGGATCCGCCCCATGACCTGCGGATGGATCCAAAGGGCCATGAAAAAAACAGCCGCATCGCTGGCAAGGGATGCCTTTGAAACCCCTTGATCAGGGTGCCTTGAACGGATATCCGCGAAATCAGCTCGGCTTCAAAGTAATTTAGTGAGACGCAAACGCATCCTGTAGGGCCGTAGGGGAACAGGTTTCACACATTTCTTCTAGGAATATGTTTTGCTGAGATCCGCCCGTGCCATACAGGAACTTATCCCTGCGGGGCTCTTCAGGGGCGGACGACGCGATCATAGAACTGGTAGTCCTGAGCAGTCGAGAGGCCAGATCCAGAATGCAACTCCACGTGCCTGTAACAAACCCATACCACCCCCTCCCTAGCCAGCTCACCAAGAGAAAAATCGACCGCGAGCCAAATTCCAAGGTGTCCCTCTACTCGAACCATGTCTCTCAGCTGGGTCTGGCTGTGGATTGATTGAGCGGGTGGCACCCAATTTCACTTCAGGCCCTTGTGGCTCCCCAAAGCCCAGAATAGTCAACCTGGTCGATTCTTCAAAGGGAGGCTTCCCACAAACTCAAAAAGGGCTCAAATGGGGGACTCCTTTTCGGGTCGGTTTGAATCAGAAACCAAAAGAAACCACGTACCTGGGGTCCCCAATTCTAAAAAACACTCACATTCCTACTTGCCCAAACGACCTGGAAAAAAAATAAACGGTTGAGCTTTTGGGCCCATGATAGGCAAACCCGGGTTGCTTGAGGCCGCCGCTGGGTTCATCTCCGGCTTGCAGCTGTACACTCCCGACTCCCCCTCCGCGTCATGGCCGCCAAAGGACTCGGCAACACCACGGGTGCACCCGGAAGGCAGAAATAGAAACGGGATCCCTCTTGAAAAAAACTAAAGGGGCTTTGAAAATATAGGCTTGCCCCACAAACCCTGGTCCCGGCATTTGGGGAACATGAGTATATACGCCGAGCTTGAGTTTCTACAGTGGGCCAACCCTTGCTTGCATGGCTCCATCCTGGTCTCAGGCCAACTGAGCAGCGCCCAACAAAACTTGCCATTTGAAGCCCTGATTAAGGGGCAAAATGACAATTGCCTTCGGCGGGCTGCAGGGCTCTACTAATACTATTCCAAGATCAGCATCTTGCCCTGGCTGAGGCACCCTGCCCACTCCTTTCCCAGCACGACCAAGCCGCTGTGGTAAGCGCCTGGATCTTTCCAGCTCAACGCGCGTACTCTGCACGGGATGGAACGTCAACATTTGAATTATAAAGCAGGGTCACCAATCAACAAAAGCACAACCCATAAACACACACATACACAAGCAGACCCACACACCCACACGCACACGCACACGCACACCCACACCCACGCCCACACCCAGAAACACAGAAACACAGAAACACAGAAACACAGAAACACAGAAACACAGAAACACAGAAACACAGAAACACACACACACAGACACACACACACACAGACACACACACACACACACACACACACACACACACACACACACACACACACACACACACACACACACACACACACACACACACACACACACACACACACACACACACACACACACACACACACACACACACACACACACACACACACACACACACACACACACACACACACACACACACACACAGACACACACACAGACACACACACAGACACACGCACACACACACAGACACACACACACACAGACACACACAGAGACACACACGGACACACACACACACACAGACACACACACACACAGACACACACACACACACACAGACACACACACACACACACACACACACACACACACACACACACACACACACACACACACACACACACACACACACACACACAGACACACACACACAGACACACACACACACACAGACACACACACACAGACATACACACACACACACAGACACACACACACACACACACACACACACTGCCACAGCCACGGCCACGGCCACACCCACACGCACGCGCAAGCACATGCACGCGCACACACGCAGGCACACGCACGCGCAAACGCACGTGCACATCAACACAAACAAACAAACAAACAAACGAGGAAACAAGCAAACACACACACACACACAAACTGTCTTGCAAACACACACGCGCACACGCACACACATACACACACACACTCACACACACACACACTCACACACACACACACACAGAACCACACCCTTTGTCTAGCTTTTTTCAGTATGGCCCAAGCAAGTGTAATTCTGTGGCTCTAAGGGAAGGGCTCTAGCAAGAAACCCTTGCAATCTGCGAGCTCTCGTTTCTGGGGGACTCAGCCGCACGCTAGCAACATCGGCGCCTGCAACGTTGGAGCCCAGGGAGTTGAGGAGGCTAACCCCGGTGAGGTCGAAGCTGTACACGGACAGCCGCACCTCCCGATGCTTTGACCCTGCCTTGGATTCAAGGGGCCGCAAATCTTCAGGCGATTCAGTGGACATGGAACCCAGGCACTCTTCGAAATGTCGCACACACTCCTCGTGAAATTCACGGAACTCGCAAAATCCAAGCAACAGGCTCCTGCTGAACACTCCTAATATGGACCAAACACGCTACCTGTATAGTATGTGAAGGGGTGTGAGACAACACAACCTCGTGTAGAAAGCTTGAATCAGCCAGTGTTTCGCATGTAGCACAGGTCCTGGGCCTGAACCCCGCCTCCCGCCTGCAGGAGTCCCTTCAGCACTTGCTGCCAGATTCAACATGGGGCAGTTAGCTCACGCGTTCGGGCTCTCTCAATTGCAGTTTTCAAATGGTACTGTGCCAACATCGGGCCGACCAGGTGCCTTACTTGAAGAGGTAAATAGTATTCTAGAGGCCGGTTCCGCCATCCTTTTGTGATGGGACGCTTTTTGATTAGTCCTGTAGAATCCGATTTTCCTCCCCCTTTGGCGCCTCTAACTCGCCCTTGGGAAGATCGGGCTCGCGATAGTCCCCTGCCCTGGAGTCACTCACTTGGCCAGTGACCAGCCCAAAAAAAGTGTACACTTTTTGGGCCACCACTAAAATAAAGGGAGAGCCACCAAGGAAAAAAGTGTAAAGTTTGGGCTTTGAGTCACGAAATCCACATTGGCGCCCACGCAAACCAGGACGGATTCATTGACCCCACAAAAGTCACAAAACCCATGGTTGCGTTGGCCTGAAACCCTGACCCGCGGCTTTCGTGTGGATGATTGAACTTGCGCCAAGCACCAAGAAGTTGGCCCTTTCCAAACAGGACTATCGGTGACCCGTCTTCTTGGAAAGGGAGCCTCACTTCCACGTTTGATGGAGGGCGGAGGGACAATTGCCGATACGGACCATCCATTCGCGCAACCGAGGGCTGGCAGCTAGGGAGAGGCAAAAACAGACATGGCTCTATGGCAATTGGCCCAAAAAAAACAGCCCAAACACACCATACACACATATACACACACGCTCCTGACACAGTGGCAAGGAACTCAAACTCAAACCAATTAGATCTTCCATAACATTCTGGCCGCGAGTGAGCCAGCGCGCGATCGAATTAACGATCCATGTGAATTCAAGCAGGAGCCTGGCTGACGAACGTGAGAGCATACTGGATTCACTAGATTTTGCAGCCCCCCTCATTTGGGTGTGTCTTAAAATGGCGGACCCCTGAAAATGGTTGTGGTGTTCTAATTTCCCTGCACCCCGAAAAGGGCCACCCTGACAAAAATGCCTCAAACATTTGACGCGCACCGACGTCCGAAGTCTGCCTGGAAGCTTCAGCGCCCATGACAAGCACGCATGGACAGGTGAGACGTGAGACGGCGAGGTAACCACACAGCCCCCCAAAGATGTCGCGGCCAACTTGTTCCTTGGGTTTGGCGCCGGCTGACAACTGATTCTGCTGATTGAGTTTTAGCCGAGGGCGGGAACTAGAAAGGCCAAAGCCCTGAGCCAGTTTTTACGCATGCAAGTTGTGGATGCGGTTTGCCGATCCACTGCAGTGGTCACAATGCTCCAAAGAAGCCGCCAGCGTTTGGTCTGAAGCGGTCACAGGTCACCGAAGCCGTGCTCTTTGGCTCCGACACAACTACGGCCTTGGCGTCACACATCCGATTCCAAAACAAGAAAACATATTTTCATCAGATGTGCGTGCTGCTCCGGCACGCCTGAGCACTTCTTGCCGGCAACTGTGTTAGGTTGGAACAAACACCCCAAACTGGCTGAAAGGAGATACTCTATATTTAGCAAGCCACGGTTCAACGTCGCTTCATTCATTGAGTCCGTCTGTTGCACCCTTGACCAACATTGCCCAGCCAAGGTGCCAGGCAACCCCATCTAAGACCCAGGCTTCCCTCTTGCAGTAAAGAGATGACAGCTCGTCGGTTCTCCTGGCAAGGTGCAAACCAAACATGAGCCAAGTTCGTGGAAATTTGGGAACATCCCCTTGTGACTCCTGTGATTCACGGTAGATGAACTTGTGACACCCGACAAACACGAGGCTCTACAATGCCATGGCGGAACCCCTTGCTGCCTTGCATGGATAAGAAAATGGGCCAAACTTAGACCCCCTGGCAAAACATCTGTGACTTGTTTGCCGGTTGGAAGGGAGAAATGCAAGAAACCAAAAGGTAAACCAAGTTAAACGGGTAGGCCAAGCCGAGAAACTGCGCATCAAAGTGCTACAGTAGGGGCCTTAGTCAGTTGCCTTGGTGATTGCCTGCACTGCGCCTGCGAAGCTGGCTGTCCTAAGCCATCCTTGGGACTGAGATCAAGGGGTGGTTGATGCACATGCGTCTCCAAAATTGAGGACCCCCCCCCCCGAAAAAAAGAAGGGAAAAACAAGCGGAACTTGCTTGGTGTCCGTTCAATGGCCCGAGGAGGCGGGTCCGTCCCCTGAACTTGGGAGCCGCTTTGAAAAAAAATCAAACCTGCAAACCATGTTGGGGGTCGCGGATGTTGGCGATGCTTTCTTCTTGGCCCCACCACGCCTCATCCACTACAGGTGGTTCCTCTGCAATTCTGGCCACCTGACACTCTCGTGGGCGACGTTCTGCTTGGATAGACAGGCAACCGGATCAACGAGGAGCCGTGCGTGCCATCGCCCACAAACATTGTCTAATCAATGTTCAACGTACCACATCCAGAATTCACACTCCTTCACAGAAAAACTGCATTTGAAAGAAGCAACAAATCCCTGCGCCATAGAGCATAACTTCAAAAACGCACTCCAACCGGGAGTCTGATTCGCTTTCGATGTGCTGCGTTGGCCGCTTCAAGCAAACCACTGCCCGAAAAACCTAAGCTGTAGACCCCAAACCAAAAATATCTGAAACCCTTGATACATCGTCGCGACGGATCCAGGCCTCGTCATGGTCCTCTTCAATCCACCGATCTACAGGCAAACGGCCCTGGCGATCCTGAAGCAAAGCGTGCTGCGCGTGTTGCCGGCGGCCAAAAAAGGTCGGTCAACCACATGACCTATGGAAGGGGGCGGCCAAAATGATTGAGCGAGCCTTTTGTGCGATTGAGCATTGCAACATTGATCAATGCTGGGAGTCAGCCGGAATCTTTAAAGGGGGTAGAAACAAGAGGGCTGGTAGTTGGGAGCCTTAGGGTTCCTTAGGGTTCCTTTAGAGCTCCGTAGGCAGGAGGCAGGAGCTTACTTAGGGAATCCCCCCCGCCCCTTGGACCACCCCCGCTTAGGGACTCCATAGCCATTGAACTCGTCTGAACCAGGGCTGCCTCAAACACGATGGCCCAAACACATCTGGCTGTGGGGCAAAAATGGGTGCCCAAAATGGAACCCTGGTAAATGGAAACAAGCACTAAACCCTGTGGTCTCCTGGTGGTTTAATTTTGACCCACACCCATCTGGTGATCGCGGCTCTTGGAATGCAGGTGGGCCATATGGAATGCCACCGCGACTTGCTCATCAGCTTTGACTCAGAACGGAAGGGAATGACCATTCGCGGAGTACTGAATAATTCTCCAGCTCCAGTAAGCATTCGGCATGCCTACAGACCAAAAAAACAACAACGGCAGCAAACAACATGTCAGCGCTGCCGCGTGCGGAAAATGGAACTAAGCTTCCACAACTGAGCGGACTTGCCGTTTCTCGTTGGGTGGCAGCTTGGGCCGCGGCCCGCAGGCATGGGGAGGCCTAAGCAAGTCGAGAGGATTGAAGCCAAGACCCTTTGAAGGTGCCCAAAGGAACATCTCCTCGGACCCTGCTATTTGGGTTCCATGTTGATTTGTTCTCTTCAAGTCATTCCTGGGTCTGGTTCCAATTCTGGATTCCGAATGCGTGATCCGAGCAATCCGCAGGACAGCCATTGCCTCATCCGCACACAGTTGTTCACCACATCTATAGCCGGAAAAAGCAAAAAACAACACCCCTCGCAAACAAAGAGAGGGCTCTGGAATCATCCCAAGGCCCTGGGATGAATCCTACTGAGTTCTGTGTGACGATGTCTTCCCGAAAAACGTTGGCCTTCGGGAAGCGGTGTGCGCCACTTGCCGGGCAAGTGGCGCCAGCTCGAAGCAGCTCCTCGATGACTCGCACGTGGCCAAGGTAGGCCTCAGCCGCGGGTCCCGGGCCATCGGGTGCCCCCACCCCCAACCCCCCACCTCGACCGCGACCTGACTGGAAGTCTGGGCCTCCCATCCTTAAGCCCTTTGGACGCGAGCGGTGCTCCAGGAAGGCCTCCCTGATGGAAAGCAGCTTACCCCACTTTGATCCTACCTGTCCCTGAATCTGCTTAAGTCCCCTGGAAAGCATGAGAACACATATTTCCAGTAGTGATAGATTCCCTCTAAAATCAACAGGGGAAACTAAATAATATTCATTTCAGCAAATGGAAACAACTCAACAAAATCACGAGCCACCACAAGTTGTTGGAATTCCTTCGGAGGCTTGACTCCAGTTCCTGCACCCAGCCGCCCATCTCAGCGCCCTGGCCGCGGAATGTAGCGCCGTGCCGGCAGTGCGGTGCCTCGTTCTATGCCGCAAACACCGGAAGCGCCACATGGGGAGACATACCAAACCAAACGGGCCAGTCCCGTCGAATCACAAACTGAGTCATGATAACTTGGCAAAAAGGGATGGGAAACACGCAATTTGGCCCAACGATGAGATGAAACTCACTTGCTGAGTGGATGGCCCAAAAAAAATCCGAACTTTATATTTACCACTAAAATAATCGTCCCAAAAAGTTTAAAGTTCATCAACTCAGGAAGTGTTGAACACTTGTCAACACCACATCCAACTCTTTGCTTTGAGCAACCATGAGGGAATTTCAAGGCGTACGAGGTTCTGTTTCCGGGCTCAGGTTTCGGCCGAGTCTCTTTTGAAAGGCCCTCGCCCCGCTTCTAAAAGGAGGAGGCACGCAGGTTGGCGCGCCCTTGGGTGCCCAGCTGCCGGACGCTCACGTGGCCCGGCGCCTCGCGCCCGAAAAGACCCGAAGAAAACCGTGGAATCCTCGAGAACCGAAAAGCCGGTGGCAGGAACAAATGACCACCCCAAAATAATGCAGGGTTGCAAAGACTTGGTTTGGCTGGAAGTCGTGGGTTGGCAGTAGCATCTACCCTGGCAACTGGCACGGAAGCTCCACAGAAATGGGGCGTGTCGGCATTTGGAGTGCGTCGAAAAGGGTCCTTACAGAACAAGGAAACTTCAAGCATGAGTCGAGTCCTGGAAGCTGCCCGGCCCTGTGCCACATGTGGACATGTTGGCGACACCTCACACTGCTTTAACTGGATTTAACTGGCTTCTCTCTCTCTCTCTCTGGATTTTGACAGGGCAACCGCTTGACGCCCTTCAGGAAACCTTGGCCAAACCGGTTCCCCACTTCCCCGAACCAGCACGGACCAAACAAATACCGAGAAAGGCCTGGGCTTACTTACTTCCCTCGCAGCTTGCAACTGGCAACTGCGGGGCCGACCGTTCAAACTGTGTGGCTGGGAAGCGGACAGCTCGTGCCAGTTGCGCGACGCAACCTGCCCAATTGTCGGGTTCATGGGCACACGCCCTGCATGGCATAAAAACGCGCATCTCTAGCTGCTAGCCTACATAAGAATAATACCAAAACAATGGAACATACACGTTCAACCACCCTAAAGACAAGCAACTCCTCTGTAGAAAAGTGCTTGCACATCAGCCCCTGTCAGAACCAGTGCCACGGGCAAACCCAGCCTCCACCACTGGAATTGTTTATGCTCGGAAAAGCTGCCATGTCAATCCCCTAAAATGAGTAGACACCATTGTTTTGACAGGCTTCAGAGCCCCGCGGAAACTGTGGGCTGAGAGTCGCGGCTTCCTTCTCTGGCTGTAAAGAGGGTCAAAGGAAACTTCGTTCGGGTTCCGGTTTGAACAAACAAACAACCAATTCCAACTTCGTTGTGTGACAAAATATGGAAAACCAACGGTTCATCTTTTGAGCAAATGACCTGGGCTCCGGGTACCACTGCAATGGCGAGAAACTGAGGCACACCTCCCACATTTTGTGAAACCTGTCAACCGTCATTTAAACAAATAATGATCCTCCGCCCCGCCCCCCCCAATTCCCCCCCCCCTTTCGCGGAAAGCCGGCAACCATCATGAAACAACAACAAAAACAACTATCCCCACCCCCACCCCCCGCCCAGCGAAAAACCTGGTTTTGAACCTCTTGCTCACCCACCAACCCCCCCCCCCCTCCCCGTTTTTTCCAACCAAACACCTGGGATTGGCATCTCCCTCGTTGCCGTTTTTTTTTTTCCGCGGCTCGCACCTGCGGAGCCGGCCAGGGCCGCCCGGTGCAAGGGCCACGCGCCGGATGAGTCCACCGCCTTGGGAGTTGTTCTTCCAGGTCTTTTGTTCCAATGGAATTCGTTGTGGGGGAAGCTTTTGCGGTCTGGAATTAAGCGGATTGAACATATGTGTGTATATATATATATATATGGACCCTGCAACGATGGTTTTTTCCAGGCTCCCCTAAACAAAAGATGGTTTTTTCCAGGCTCCCCTGAAAAAACCATCTTTTGAGGGGTCCAGGTATAAATGTGTATGTCCAGTAGGTCCGGGTTCCAATTTCATTTATCTAGTCATCTAATCCCCGTAGGAAAATGGAAAACCCATGGGGTTCGACGCTTCATGGCAAAACTTGGTGAAAGAAGACATGCCCCCCTTTTCGCGAAATCCTCGAGTCTCGTTTTCACCGTTCGGAAACCCAAGGGTCTGATTCGATTCCCCAACGATACCAAGCAAGAGCTTGGTCTCAACCATGGTTTCTTGGGTGGCGCATCCCGGATTCGTCCATCGACAGTCGCATGTTAATGAAACAGGGCAAGCATGTTCAAACTCGTCCTACTTCATAACCCGTGAAACACTAATACAAGGGAAAACCCTGCCATCCGGAAGAAGGACGAAGGAACTATTTTGAACTACCCAGGTAAAGCAGATAGCAACACCCTCCCACAAAAATGAAACCAACAAAAAGGTGCAGGGGTCTTCCAAGCTTCCGTGTCAGGTTTCCTGTGCAATTTTTCGGGAGGGCAACTTTTGACAATCAAAACACTCATGTCATATTGACTCATTGACTGTTGGCCGCAGCAAAAAGGTTGAGTCTAGCCTGCTGGGCGACAATCCTTTAGAAGGAAAAACCGCAGACCTTGCCGCTGGCGCGGGGTAGCTGGGTAGCTCACTGTGGGGTCCGCCCTCCTCTCCAGCAAGCGCCTCACCTCAATGGATGAAAGGAACGGAAGTCTCAGCCCACTGGACCACCCCCTACAAAAAGCTTCACTCTCAGAAATGGCCTCACAAGGACTTCCTGGCCCTAAAAAGTGAGGCCAAACTGTCTGTCTTCCACTAAAATTGTCATCCCAAAAGTTTAAGTCCATGAACTCAGGAAGTGAGAGGATGACATAATCCAAATGAGTCGGGATCACTCAAAAGGCACCCTTCGCAACAGCAGGCATCTTCCAGGAACCGGGGGGCGGTGCTTCCGGGATCACTAGGGATACTAGAGAAACACCCCACATGAACGAAAACAGGTCCTGACTGAATTCACCCGGACCCGTCAAACATCCCACGGCACGGGTTCGAACTGGGCAGTTTGTTGGGTTTCCCGGCAGCTTCCGAGTGCCCACTCAAGGCGGCAATGTGCAAAGGCGACCTGCCCTCCAAGTCCAGCTTGTTCACCAGGGCGCCTCAATCAAAACTTTGGAGATGTCAAACAGCAACTCTGACCCCATCAGCACAAGGGATTCCGAAAATGCAAGTTGAAGGTATGTTCGGCTTTGGCCATCTTTGGTCGGCAGCATCTATTCAGTGTTGTATCTATACTATCCTTCAGAGACCGAAGTTTTTGAGGCTTCGCCGACTTTTCTCGAACTGGCCCTATTTCAGGAGAGGATAAGAGTGACAGGGCCTCTTTTTTTTTGGTAAGTTCATTTTGCCCGCCAACCCACCCAACGGTGTGCTTGTTCATAGCAGGCATGGGTCCCAATGCAAGGGCGGGGGCTGAACTCGTAATGCCCAAGCCGAGGTTGGGAATGCATACGTCAAGTTGCGCAAAGGATCTTGCAGGCTTCCCTCAAGGAGTTGGATTTTCACAAAAAGCATATTTCCTTTTGGTTTCCCTTCAAAGCCACCTGGAAAGGATAACCCCGGCCGCTCTCCCACCCCCCCACCCTGCTCCAAGGAGTAGTCGATGGCATCCGTGGACCCTGCAGAGGCCTGAGCAGTGAGCACAAACCGCACAAGGAGCATTGCGCAATTGGAGATGTCAAAGCAAAGCCCTCCATATGGTGGATTCGTTCTTCAATCCTACGCCAAAAAGGGTAGCCTCAACAAACACATCTAAAAGAAACCCTTTGGTCATGAACCTCGAACCTGTGTTTCACCCTTGCAAATAAACAAAATAACAAATCAGGACCCTGACCAAACCTGACTTTGACCTCCAGGGATGGAAGCCTACTGTGGATGGACAAATATCTTGCACCAGTTGGGATGGATCATGCCCTATGAGTACAACATGGAAAACCACTTACCAAATCTTACCAACTGTGGTAATCCTGCGCCCAATTTTATTGGCCCCCGGGCAGCCCAGTGCAGCACCGTTTGCCCCGTGCCGTCCTGACAGCGGGTCCCAAATCACTTAGGAGGATCAGCCATACCGCCGTTTTCCGCCAGTGGTTTGGGGGTAGGAAACATGTCAGGTTGCTGAGGAGTACTCATTCACAGCCACAAGAAGGGCAAACATTGCAGCTTACCAGTCACCACAGGAGCATCAAATGGCTCTGAACCGGTATTGGGTTTGAAAGTCGGGATTCCACCAGGTGCCTCTCCAACCTGAAGAAACTGTACCGCAGAAGAACAAATACAGAATGAACTTACGTGTTGGACGCTTGGACCGCTCTGAGGGGGGCACCACGACGTTGGCCTCATACTCGTCCAGGAAGCCAGCAAGACTTGGCACAGACGGCACGCAGTTCCCATAACGAGCATGAATTGAAACATGTGGCAAGAGAGGTTTGCAAAACATCATGCGCAAGAGGGGGCGACATGCGCAGCATCACGGGACCTGCACGCGCAGCTTGGCGTGCGCCTCAATATATTCTTGTCTCCCTCAGGGCAGTGGGATGAAGGCACAAGGCGCCCCGAGCGATTGGGGGCTCGTTCGCCATGCATTTCCGAGACACGCGGAACTGTACTTCGTGCATCTTCGCGCGCTGCTCATGCATTCTAAAGTGCAATTTTCGAGCTGGAGGCGCGAGAGTGCGCTTTTCGAGCATTACTTTTACGCTTACATTTGTGATTTTCGAGCTGGAGCTGCGAGTGCACTTGCGCCCAATCAATGGCACGTAGAGCGCGGCACTCGCGAACATTTCTCGGACGCTGCGGCCCTAAAAGCGCCGAATCTCAGTAACGCCCTAACCAAAACACTGCGCCTGCGCAGCGAAGCAGCACGCAACATCGCAAAAGCTACGATTTTGCGGAGGGTCGCAACGGAAACGCATGGAAACGCAATGTTGCAAGTCATGTAACTCGAACATTTTCAGCCTTCTCCAACGACGTGCAGACGCCACCTGCGTACGCTGGCAAAGGCTTGCAAACGCTTGCGAATGCCTGCGGACGCCGCGCCTCTCGCGAACACAGACCCTTTCCTACGATGGGAACCCTGCTGCTACGCGTTCGTGAAAAAGAATGAGAAAGAGAGAGAGAGAGAGAGAGAGAGAGAGAGAGAGAAAAAAAAACAAAGAAACAGGGAGACGCCTGAGAGAAAGAAAGGTTTGAAAGAAAGAGAGACAGAGAGAAAGAGAGAGAGAGAGAGACAGATAAAAATAAAAAGGAATAGATAAAGAGAGACAAAGAGAAAGAGAGAGAGAGAGAAAGATAAAAAGAGGAAGAGAGAAAGAGAGAAAGAGACGGACAGATTAACAAAAAAGAGAGAGAAAGATACAGAGAAAGAAAGAGAAAGACTGGTCTGAGAGTCAGCAAGGAAAGAAAGAAAGAAATAAAGAAAGAAAGAGAGAGAGGGAGAAAGAGAGAAAGAGAAGGAAGAAGGAAGGACGGAAGGAAGGAAGGAAGGAAGGAAGGAAAGAAGGAAGGAAGGAAGGAAGGAAGGAAGGAAAGAAAGAAAGAAAGAAAGAAAGAAAGAAAGAAAGAAAGAAAGAAAGAAAGAGAGAGAGAGAGAGGGAGAAAGAGAGAAAGAGAAGGAAGGAAGGAAGGAAGGAAGGAAGGAAGGAAAGGAAAGAAAAGGAGGAAAGGAAAGGAAGGAAAGAAAGAAAGAAAAGAAAGAACGAAAGAAAGAAAGAAAGAAAGAAAGAAAGAAATAAAGAGAGGTCTGAGAGCCTGCGAGCCTAAGAAAATTGAGAAAAGAAAGAAACAAAAACCAGAGAGAAAGACAAAGAGAGAGAGAGAGAGAGAGAGAGAGAGACAGAGAGAGAAAGCCAGAGAAAGAGAGAGAGAGAGAGAGAGAGAGGGAGAGACACACACAGCTTCCCAAAAGAGCTCGGACGCTGTTTTGACGATAGGCACTGACAATCAGCTGGTGGGCAGCCTCGATGTAGGGCCACAGGTCCCACACCGCCTGCCTCAAAGCCAAGTCCCACGCTCAGTTGAGTAGGCATTGCTCCCCTCCGTGAAGGCTGGTGGAAGCCTCTTTCTCGCACATCCTACCCAAACGGTCAGCCTTTTAAGGTGTGGGTTGAAATCCGGCTGAGCTGCCGCGCCAGGATTTGGCTCGCCAAGCGGAAAGACAACATGCGACTTTGAGATTTTGCAAGGCCTGGGCCAAGCTCGCAAATCTGGCGCCGCTCAACGCTGCATCTGCGCAAACCACCAAGCCACGAACTCGCGACCTACTCCGCCACCGCGCTGGCGGAGCCAAGGCCACATGCGCGCGGCTCACAGCCCAGATTTTCCCACCTGACCTTGCTGTTTTTGCCGCGGAGCTATGAGCTCAGAAACGTGAGTCATCCTCGTCTTGCACAGTCAGTTGCAGGGACCAAGTCAGGACTGAACAAGTTCTTGCCAACTTGTTGTCTGCCAAGCAAGGGTGAGCGATCGCAACTTTTGCTAAGGGCGTCGCGCAAGGCAAGCCCAATTTGTGCTGCCACTGCCAGCCATTCTCACAAGCACTGATGCTGGCGCAGAAGCTCTTGACGGCGAGCCTTGCTTGGTGCTCGCAAGCAATCCGGCAGGGAACCTGACATCACTGCCCATCTGCGAATGACCAAAGATCTAAACCATCAAGAGCAAGGCCGCGCGTTGCAGGTTGAGGTGGGTGGGGTCTTGACTCCTCCCTGCAAATGGTCAAAGACGTGCCGGTCAGTATTCTGGGAGTGGCCACACCCTATCGGCAGCTGGCTAAAGCTTGTGCTCCTTGAGTCCGCTGGCTTGAGCTGTTCGACTGTAAATGCCACGTGAGCCAATCGTGTGGCTGGCAGAGATGAGGCAGCTTTGACGCGGACTCACATGGGTTTAAGCATGATCCAGCATTGGCAAACAGGTCTGCGCTGTCCGATCTTCTGCGCAGCCAGCAGTTTTGACCTTGGCCTTCTGGCTTTGACTGCCAAGCTGAAAGGTTGTTTTGGTTTTGCCCCTTCCCGGACCTGCCGAACCGCTAATTGTCTTACAAGAAACGGGTTTTAACCCAACTAATCAAAGGCCACTCCCTCTTTTCAGGTCTGTTCGTCGCGCGTGGCAGGTCGGTTCTACTGCTTTAGCCCGCCGGCAAAACTTGTGTTGCTTTAGCCCGCTGGCCTAAGCTGTTCGACTGCAAATACCACGTGAGTCAATCCTGTGGTTGGCAGAGATGAGGCAGCTTTGATGCAGACTCACATGGGTTTAAGCATGGTCCAGCATTGGCAAACAGGTCTGCGCTGTCCAATCTTCTGCCCTGCAGCCAGCCGTTTTGACTTTGGCCTTGTGGCTTTGTGCGAAACGCCGACTGCCAAGCTGAAAGGTTGTTTTGGTTTTGCCCGCGCCGGCCGGAACATGATGCGGGTTGCACCCCAACTAATCAAAGGCCTCCTCTTTTCACGTCTCCTCTGGGAAACGTCGCGCTTTGCATCACCTTGACATCACTGCCTCCCTGCAAAGGACGACCACCGGTTGTCAGCACCATGCAAGTCATACGCTATCGGCAGCCAGGGGCAGAGATGAGGCAGCTTTGACGCCGACTCACATGGTTTCGGCATGATCCAGCGTTGACAAGCAAGTCTGCACTATCCGATCTGCTGCCCCTCTCCATGACATGTCAACTGTCAATCTGAAAGGTTACTTGGTTTGTCCCTTCGCGGACCACTGATTGTCTTACAAGCAGCGGGCGTGTACCCCAACTAACTAATCAATCAGGGACCGCTTCCTCTTTTCATGTCTCTTCCAGAAAACGTCGCGCATTGCAGGTTAAGCTGGGGCGTTGACATGGCTGCCCCTCTGTGAATGACCAACGACCACCAGTAGTCAGCATTCTGGGAGGGGTAACGCTCTATCAGCAGCGAGGTGCAAAAGCTTTTACTGTACGCTGGCTTAAGCTGTTCGCTTGCAAACGCCACATCCTACGGATGGCGGAGATGAGGCAGCTTTGACGTCGGACTAACATGGCTTAAGCGTGGTCCAGCGTTGAAAAACAATAACAAGTCTGCACTATGCGGTCTTCTGCCCCACAGCCAGCAGGTTTGCCTTTGGCCTTGTGGCCGTGCCTGAAATGCGAACTGTCAAGCTGTAAGTGTTTTGCTTCGGTTGCCCCTTCCCAAACAACAAGCCGCGCTTCTCGTTTCTTCAAAAGAACGGGTCAAGCTGGGGCCTTCACATCACTGCCCCTCTGGCAGGCAGGAGCAATATCTTCTACTGCTTCAGCCTGAATGTGTGTTGCTTTATCCCGCCTGGCTTAAGCTGTTCGATTTCAAATGCCACGACGGACCGATGGTTGACAGAGATGAAGCAGCAGGGTGTAAGCGTGATCCAGCATTGACAAGCAAGTCTGTACTATCCGATCTTCTGCCCCGCAGCGAGCAGTTTTGACGTGGGCCTTGTGGCTTTGCCTGACATGCCAACTGTCAAGCTGGAAGGCTGCTTTGTTTTTTCCCCTTCTTGGGCCAGTGATTGTGTCACAAGAAGCGGGGTTGTACCCCAACTGAGGCGCCTCTTTTCACTCTTCCAGAAAACGTCGCACATCGCAGGTCAAGCTGGAGCCTTGACATTGTTGACCCTCTGCGAATGATCAACGACCCACGGCTAGTCGCAAAAGCTTGCACTGCTTGGCCTGCTGGCTTAAGCTGTTCGATTGCAAGCGCCCCGTTGGTCCTGTGGATGGCAGAGATGAGGCAGCTTTGACGCGGACTCACATGAATGGTTTAAGCATGATCCAGCGTTGACAAACAAGTCTGCGCTATCAGAGCTTTTGCCCCGCAGCGATTGTGGCTTTGCCACAAACGCCAACCCTCAAGCTCCAAGTTTGCTTTGAGTTTGCTCCTTGACCATGGCATCGCTGCCAGCATCAACGGAGTGGTTACACCCTGTCGGCAGCCAGGAGCAAAAGCATGTTCTGCTTTAGCCGCTGGCTGAAGCGGTTCAACTGCAAGTGTCACGTGAGTTGATCCTATGGTTGGCAGACATGAGGCAGCTTTGACGCGGACTCGCATGGTTTAAGCATGATCCAGCGGTGACAAACAAGTCTGCGCTGTCCGGTCTTCGGCCCCGAAGCCAGCAGTTTTTGACTTGGACGTTTGTGGCTCTGCCTGCAACGCTGTCAAGCTGACAGGTTGCTCTTTGGCTTTGTCCCTTCCCGGACCAGTGATTGTTTTGCAAAACTAACCAAAGCACTTCCGTTGCAGGTCAAGCTGGGACCTTGACGCGGCTGCCTCTCTTCGAATGTCCACGGCATCATGGGAATGGGCAAACCCTGTGAACCAGATGACTCATGAAGGAACAACCATGGTGGAAGGGGCCTTCACCATCGAAA